ATAAACACATGCAATTTGCAGCAACATGGATGGCGCTGGAAGGGATCATGCTCAGCGAAATAAGCCAAAAAGAAAAAGAAAAATACCGGATGGTCTCACTCATAGCAGGAATCTAGAAAACTTAAATAAGGGACCAGGAAAATGAATAACTATAAGAAAGTGAAAATCAAAATCAACAAAAAACTATGAACCAGAGACACTTTTAGGGGGGCGGGGGCGGGAGGGGAGGGATTGGGGTCAGAATGGGGGTGCTGCAATTGTATGGGGAATATAACAATAAAATTTATAAAAAAAAAAAAAAAAAAAGAATATATACCACAAAAAAAAAATAAATAAATAAATTAGCAGTTTCTATCTATAAAAAAATAAATAAATAAATAAAAAAAAATAAAAAATCTGGAGTCCAACAAAGTTAATCATAACTAGCAAATGCAGCAAACATCATGACTGTGGTATATATTCTTTTATAACTTCATTTTGGTATAGAAATATTTCTTATGATTCTTTACAAAATATTTAATTCATAATTAGGTAAATGCTAGGACAGCAGTAAATCTCACACATTTTCTAGGTACACATTGACTAAATAATGAGTAAGAATAACTTAGAAAGGTAATGTCAGAAAATTACTCTAGGATTCAAATTGTCAAGGATAATCTCAAATTGATTATTCAAGTTTTAATTTTACCTCTGTATAAAGATGTTATTATAATAGATTTACATTCAAAATTAAATATTAAGTTAGTATTAAAATACATTGGCTTCCCCAAGTAAATACCAACTGACCTTGGAAAAGATAGTTGTCAAATTCACCCAAAAAAGGGAGAATTAATTATGAGGCTGCACTTGACTTTTTAATGGAATTAATAGCAGAATGCAGGCTGACCTAAGATATTGCAGAATAAGCAACCAGACTATAATTTAGCCATCACTACCTATGCCTTAGTGAAAAGAATCCTATATGGTTATGTTTTATGAAAAGTGTGGCTAATTAGGAACCACCTCCTCATAAATGTTAACAATTTTATGTATGTAATTATTGTTTCATTACAACTGCTCTTTAAGCAGTTTAATTGCTTTTCTGGATCAGGGGTTTATTAGTTTCCATTTTTAAAGTGCTTATTACAAATGCCAGGCTCTAGGCAAAGGATATTACATTATTCTGCAAGGTAAATTTTATTAGCCCCATTTTTCTAAGGCAAATGAAGTTTAGTGAGGTGACGTGCCATACCTACTTCTCAGTAACAAAGCCAACACTCACACTCGGGTCTGACTTCAATGTCTATACTACAATACTATCCTGCCTCATGGATTTCCTTACATAATACTTACGTAGTAATTTATAATTTTTATGGTATGTTATAGCCACAACAGGAGGATACAGGGCCTCCCTGGTGGGGCAGGCAGTTGAGCGCATTGAGCGCAGCGCTGTGAAGTTGTCCACAGCCTCTGCAGCGCCGGTTCAATCCCTGCTGGCCTCGGAGCAACCCACATGGCGAGCAGACCTCTCCTGTCTCGCCTGCTACTCCCCTCAGCAGTGTATTTCGTCAGTCTGCCTGTTCTGTTCCCTGCTCTGTCTCTGCTGAATCCTCTCGCCCCCACCCACTTCCACCCCGTGCATCTGGACTGCACCCCAGCTCTTGTATAAATAAATCTTAAAAAACAAAAACAAAACAAAACAAAACCAGGAGGATACAAAGTATCATAGTGATAATGTCAGATGTAATAAAATGCTGTATATGGCATTTATTTTTGAAAATATCAAACATCTATCTTCAAGTTTCATAAAGAATCTGGGAACTGGTCGCAATAATCTCTCTCATCATAAAAAGACTTGTCAAAGTGTATTTTGTTAGCTGCAATAATTTTGCCTTTCCAAAAGAGGTAGTTCAGAGCATAGGTTCTGGAACTAACATTTCCATTCTGACTCTCCTACTTATTTGCTTGGACACATACCTTCATTTTGTTTTGCCTTAATGGTATTCATTTGTAATAAATGCACTAATGCATTTGTAAAGCATTTGACACAAAGCACTCCCAAAATCTTTCTGCTTACATTGTCCAAATCCAAAGACTAATATTTAGCCCTTTCATGCTTTTTTTTTTAAAAAAAAAAGATTTATTTATTTATGCACACAGGAGCTGGGGCACAGGCCAGAGATGCAGGGGATGAAAGGATTCACCAGAGACAGAGTGGGGAACAGAACAGGCAGACTGACTGAAATACACTGTTGAGGGGAGCAGCAGGCGAGACAGGAGAGGTCTGCCTTGCCATATGGGATTCTCGCGGGCCACCAGGGATCAAATTTGTGCTGCAGAGGCTGTGGATTGCTTCATAGTGCGGTGCTTAAGCCCTTGTGCCACCAGGGAGGCCCCATGCTTTCTTTTTTTTAAGTAGATTTACTTTATCTTCTAGAGCAGTTTAAGATTCACTGCAAAACTGAAGAGAAGGCAGATTTCCCATATGTCCCCAGCTCCCCAAAAGCATAGCATCTCCACTACCAGCATCTCCCACCAGACACTGACTCCCACAATTAATGAACCAACGTTGACATATTATTATCACCCAAAGTCTATAGTTTAGTGTTCACTCATAGGTTCCATGGGTTTTGATAAACGTATGGCATGTGTCTTCCGTTAGTGTCATACAGGAGAGTTACCACCTGAAAGTAAAGGGCTTTACCATTCCCTCCTATCCCTAGTCCTGACAACTACTGCTCTGTTTACTATCTACAGTCTTTCCCCTTTCCAGAATGTCATCCAGTTCGAATCACAAAGAATATAAGTTTCTCCATGTCTTTTCATGGCTTAATAGCCGGTTTGTTTGTTTTTTGTTTGTTTTTTTTTAGTGCTGGCTAATATTATATTGTATGAATGTAGAGTTTATCCATTCACCTACTGAAGGACATTGCAATTGCTTCCAAGTTTTGGCGATTATGAATAAACTTACCATAAGCAACTGTATACTGGTTTTTATGTGGACACAGCTTTCAACTCATTTGGGGAAATATCAAAGAGCAATTGCTGTATATGGAAAGAATGTTTGGTTTTGTAATTAAGAGCACCTAGGTCAGGAATGGTGTTTACAAACAGCTAAAGGGCAGGGTCTATTTCATTCATTTTCTTTTCCTCTCCTGACCTTCAAAAATGGTTTCAATTATTTTTTTAATAGTGGTAAATTTAAGCATGAGTATTTTTTTATTTTAATTTTTCAATCCTTTATATACATACAACTTCACACTTCCATATGTACACATACTTCACTTATACTCCACCAAAGATTCAGTGTCAATACCCAATCACTTTGCCTACTTTTCCCAGTCCCATCCCCTCTGGCAAAGCTCTAGTTTTCAGAGTGTAGGAGTTACTTTTGTTGCACTTGCCAGTTTGTTTTGTTTTGGCTATTTATATTCTTCAAAGGAGTGAAACCATTACACCTAGCATAATTGCCTCAAGATCCATTCATTTTTTTTCCCTCAGAAACCACTATTTCGTCTTTTTTTAATAACTGAGGACTACACATCTAGTACACATTCTGTGATTTCTTATCCAGTCACCTGTCAGGCATTTAGGTAGGTTCCAAGTCTTAGCTGTTGTGAGTAATGTTGCTTATGAAAATAGGAGTGCAGAATTTTTTGGTATGTTTTCTTATTCTTCAAGTAAATAAGTAGAAGTAGTATTACTGGATCATACGGTATTTCCATTTTTATATTTTTGAGGACTCTCCATAGACTTTTCCATAGAGCCTACACCAATTGGGAGTTACATAGTGATAGCCTTCAACTGACTTTGACAACTAATGCTGACTACATTCCCATTGTCACAATGTTGAGTCTCCTTGTCATTGGAAACAAGATTATTAATCAAGTGTAACCTTAAGCCTGCCATTCTAGTACAGAAAAAGTACAATGAATCTGGCTTTGTAAGTAGGTAAAATGATATTGGAATCAAGAAATGTTTTGTTTTTTTTTTTTTTTTTTAGCAAGGTTCATGATATTGGAATCAAGAAATGTTTTTTTTTTTTTTTTTTTTAGCAAGGTTCAAATGACTCAGTCTTCTGAGTTTCAAGGTTTTGGAACTCTTCAAAAACAACATCTGTCACAGGGTCTTTGTTATGATTATGAAACAGTGGTCTGAGGACACGGCCCTAGTATTCATCTTCTCTCTAACGCTCACCAAGTAACTTCAAAGCAACCTACCTAGAAAACCAGTGCATTAGCATGAACAGCGGAGAAACATCGTCCTACACTCCAAGGAGATTCATTTCCTCAAATGAATAACAAACAAGTAACATCTCAGTTTAAGCCTCTTATCTCAAGGCAAACCAAAAGTGAAGGGTAACACTTGCAACTCCCTACTTTACTTTGCACTCAGACCCCACCTTTCAAGCTGCTGCACATCGCGATTCCCTCCGCTCCGGCCCCGCGAATAGAACAGGGCGGGCCCCAACTGACCCCGAGCCAGGAGGACCACCATTGCGCCAAAGCAAAAAGGGCCTCCTTTCTAAAATTCAGCAGCGGAGAGTCGACACAGAAGTTTCTGTGGAGAAATTAGTCGACTACAACACCGCGGCACAGGGAAGGCACCAAACCTCGAACCTTTTTTCGCGCTCGGAATTAGCCGGAAGTGACGGCAGTAGCCGGCGCGCAGGGCCGCCCCAAGGGGGGAGGAGAGCGGGAGGGGGAGCGTGCGGGGGCTGGGGGCGGGGCGCGGCCACAGCTCCGTTTCCGGTGGCTCGTCGCGCTCGCTCACTCCAGCTGCAGCCACTCTTGCCCGTGGCTGCTTCCTCCATCCTGGTATTTTTTGGAGCCTCCATCCTGGTTCTTCCAAAGTGCCCGGACCCAAAACAGGAAGTAAGTGCGATGGAACCTTCAGGTCCCAACCGCCGCCAGGGCCGCTCCGCCCAGTGGAGCCTGACCGGCCCCCTTGCTGCCCGCTTGGTCTCGCCGGCCTTCGCAAGCTGTCGGCTCCCGGGCTCTGCGGGCGGGGTCGGAGCAAGGCTTCGTGACGCTGGAGCTGCCGTACTCGCACGCTCAGGCCAGGGCCTCCCTCTCGGGGCCGGGCCTGCGGCGGTGGCTCGGGCTACAGAACAGGGTAGCGAGTGGCCGCCGAGGAACAGCGGCAAACCGGCGGGGGCGGAAAATGGCGGCGGCTTCGGAGGAGCTAAATGGCGCCGGGACCCCTGGGGGTGGGGTGGGCCAGGAGCTTCGGTAAAGAATTAGGCCCGGGAATGTGGAGAGCAAGTAAGCCTCACTTGCTTTCTGGTGGTATTCTTTTTGTAAATATTTTGTTACCTTTCCGATTTTAATATGCTTGGGTGGGATTGAAAGAGTTGGGGTGAATATCGCCCCAGTCCCTCCCCCCTTTTCTCTTTTACCTTGTTTGCGTCTTAGTCTCTTTTCCCCATCTTTTGGGGTTGACTCTTAAGCCATTCATGGCCCAGGCAGAGGGAATCTGGATTACTGTTCGAACTATCTTCTGTTAGCCTGAATCTCTTCAAAAGGAGGGACGTGGGCTGGAGTGCGGGGACCGATCCTAGCATAGCCTGAGAACAGTAAACTGCATCTCAAAGTAGCAATTGTCATATTTTGCCGAGTTCTGAAGTTCAAAAAAAATCTGTCTCCTTTGTCCTACAAAATACTTTATTTTGAGAATCGCTTTAGGGGCGATAGAGTATGTTAACCCAGTCACCGGTGTGATTTGAGAGAAGGGGCCAAGAGTCGTTCTGTGCAGTTGAACGATACAGCTTGTGTTTTTACAATTAAAATATTGGGTGTAGCTAAGAGGAGGGCGATAATTCTATGAAATGTAAGTCAGGACTCCCCCTTTCCCCGAATGAATTTGGAAATTCAAATTCAGTGTGTGTCTGCTTTTCTCGGCACTTGATTCATCGTCACGTAACTCCTTTTCTGACAGCGGAGGCTCTTAGTTGGGACATCTGACAAAATGCGTTTTCTCTAGGATTACTTTATAATATGCAATGTTTTAAACTTAAGACTAATAAAACCTGGAAATATTGTTTCATTAATTATACTTTATATTTTTATAATTATAAACCATCGATAGCGTTTAAACTCCAAGTAAGAAAATATTCTTCCATTGTGTTCAAAATTGCACAGAGAACCGTTTTTTTTCCAGTCACGGATTTTCATTACTAAAGATTCTTTTTTTGGTTTTAAAAACTCTGGTTTAAATAACTTTGAATGTTACTATATTTTAACTTTTTAAAAGTAATTTGAGTAATTTATCACCACTAAGTGTCAAAAGACTGGTGATTTATACGCCAAAAGTTTAGCTTTATGATGGTGTAGTAGTGGTAAGACTTTCTCAGGTTAAGATTTAGGGGGGAAATTTAAATTACATTCCTGAACATTATCAAAATGGTCCGGCTGAATAAAATTTGGTGTGAGAATCAAGCTTTTTCCCTTCCATTCACAGGGTATAAATAAAAAGTAGCTTGATGCTGTCTAGGAAAAAAAAAATCATTACAGTTATGGAAAAAATGCTTGTTTTGTAATTTTAATTCCTATATACTAAGTGCTTTTATGTGCCACCAAACAAGCTATTTTTCTTTACTATTTTAGTTAAGACTCACCCAAAATATGCTTTTGGGGACTGAACAGGACCTGCGTGTTATGTTTGAATCTCTTTTAATTGACTGCAGTTGAGCTAGATGGTGGAGACAAAATGCTGTTTTCCTGTCTTCATCGTGAGTCGATCAGTATGGGCGTTGCATATTTGTTTCGAACATTTTTGAAGTCCACACTTTTAACAGTTATATGAATAAGTATATGGTATATAGACATTTTTTCACTGGGTTTTGAGGTTTTCAAAGTATTTTGAGGAGAAGCAATCACCAAAAAAAATTTGGAGTTAGGATTTGAGCTTTGAAAGCAGAGCATGATCAGAAGTTATATCTGCAGAGAAATATATCAAAAGAAGGGGGTCTTCATTTTTTTAAGTCCTCTTCTTTTTGCTGGCTTTATTTTCTCTTTTAAGGTGAACAAACATCCCATTTCACCCCAAGGCATTGGGAGAAATAAGTGTAAGGTTAATTAGATGTTAGTATTTAAATTACAAGAATGAAACTGGTCCTTAATTTCCCCCCTGTAATGTTTGTCTACTCCATTTATCTACAGACCCCAATTTTTTAAATAAATTTATATGTCCTGGAATATTACATCTCATTATTTTTAAAGAGTTGCATTTTTTTAATGCTCCATTAGTTATATTGGCTTAGGATAATGCCTGTGAGATTGAATAAAATAATGTGAAACAAGTGTCTTTGGGGATTTACACACACACACACACACAAGTCATCAGGGAGGTCCTACTCTTAATTTTCTTTCACGATATCCCGATATCCCTGTATGTACCCATATTCAGGAATGTGTTCTCTTTTACTAAAACCTTGCTGTTTACAAAGAGCTTAATCTTTTCAAAATAAAAACCTTTTCAAGATCCTTATTATACAGTACCAAGCAAACCATTTATGCATTTTCTAAGGCATTATTTAAATGCAATGCAATAAGTATGGTGGTAGTCAATATGGAGTCTATAAAAGCATGATCTCAACAGTAAATATTCAGTAATAGTTAATGGTTAGATAAATTTAGGTACATTCTATGTACTCCTGTAAAATAATGTGGAATAATAAATATTGGAAAATGCTCTTGAAAAAATTATGTCAAAAGTTATAAAAGATGTGGCATCTTAATATTTAAAAAATACGGCTATTTTGATACATGGATTAAAAACTTGGAAGATCATAAAAAAGTAATGGTGGAATAAATGTAATTTTTCTTATTAAAATAGATTTAAAAATTTTGAAAACAATGTGTCCTTACTGCCTTATTAGTTTCTATGCCAAAAACTGCCTCTCAGCTAGTATTTCTCAATGTTTAACTCATCCCATAAAATTCTGGCACTGTATGTTCCTTCACTAGCTTGCTTGGTTTCTTCTTAGAAAAAGTGTCTTACAATACTGAATGTTTTTCATAGCACTCAGTCTCATCCAAGCTTCTAGGGTCTGCAAATATTAGCACTTAGGGTTTTCATCAAATAGAATCTACAATATAATACAATAATCTACAATAGAATCTACCCATCCTTACTTGTATTATACTGTGCTTGGGAACAAATAACAAATTTTGCTACAGAATTGATCCCCAAAACAGGAAGAAATGCCACTTCTCTTGGTTCTAGTTTTTAGAAATTTGATAGTTGCCCAGGAAATTAGGAAAACCATGGACTTGGTTAAATGTAAGAAAATTCATAAAATCAGTACTGAAATAGAGTTAAAGAGCTCATTTCTTTAAAATCTGTGTTAACAATACAGGTTTTTCTATATTAAAGTCATGTTCACTGGAAAATATAAATGAAAACTGCATTTCTTATTTAAATATGAAATGTCAGTATATATAAATACTACATTATAATTCTTTCATACCACACTTAAGGTATTCTTGTAATTTTTTTTAAGGCTGTTAGGTTTCAGCTATCCACCAAGTGGTGTAAACATGCCACAATCTGATTTCACCAGTTAAAATAGCTGTTAATTTTTTTTCCCTTTTATCTTCTCATTCTAGTTAGCTTAAAAGTAGTATATATAGTGTAACCCATTACAGAGAAGGGAAAAACTTTAAATGTGCTGATGTGTATTTATTTGCCTCATATAGGACAAAACATTTGATGGTACAATTGGAGAGCTTCCTGATGAATTTCTCTGATAAACCAAATGGGGAATGGGTCAGAAGTGAAGTATTATATTCATGTATAATGAATTAGAATTTATAAGGCACTAGAATATTCGGTTTTGTTCTTTACTATTGTGAATTGATTTATTCAACATTTCTTCGTCATATCAGAATACAGATGTGCTCTTTTAAATAACAACCCCAGTGTAGCCAGCATCCTCTCTACTTATCTTGAAAGCTAAATCTCATAAAAGACCTGTAGTCCAGGTCTCTAAGTATCCCAGTAGGACTTATACCCTTCTACTCTTCTCACTACTTTTGTTAAGGTTACCAATGACCTCATTACTGCCAAATCAAATAGTAATTTCATCATCTTAGCCTGTAGGCGGTATTTAATACGGTTGACTACTTAACACTCCATAAAAAACATTCTTGTGCCTTTTAGTTTTCTCCATCTTGTCTGTATCTGTCCCTTGCTTATTTATGTATCCCTTGACTTCCAAATCTTTAGAGTACTCTAAAACTAAAATTCAGACTGTTTTTAACCTTTTTCGGTGCTCTTATCTCTAAAAACAATTTGTATGTCACTAACTCAAATGTATATGTCAAATCCTTGCCCACTGATTTCCATCTTCCAAAGGTCCACTTGACCTTCAGTTGGATACCTTGTATTTTTGGTTACTGAGAAAGATATGTAATAAATACAGGTAAGTGCTCCAAAACTCAAAGCTGGTTAACTCAAAAGTCTAGCAATCATCTTGAGGTAGCTCCCCTTAATCTCCATCATATATCCTCTGTCTAGCTTCTTTCCTTTCCTTGACTGCTGCTTGCTGCCTATTTCAAAAGACAATCTTCTCTTGGACTGCAGTTTGTCTTTATAACTTAGTCTCATCCTTCCTCCACACTGCAGTCTGATCTTTTAAAAATGGCAGTTCCCCAACTTAACATCTTGCAAGGATTTGCCTTGTGAGATTTGCCCATCTTCATCTCCAAACTTAACCTTACTTTGCTTTCTCAGAATTCTGCGGCAGTGCTTGCTGTTTTCCCTCTCTGAACAGGCCCAATCATGTCTTACCTTAGGGATTTTTCTATTAACCACTTGACTAGCTCGCAGTCTCATACTTGGGAGTGTTCTCTCATCTTGCCTTCAGACAGCTGTAAAGTTACCATTAAAGTGCAATTCATTGTTTGTAGTAGTACACTATTTCTGTAAAAAGTATCTGGAGAGATGCATTATATATATATAAATGCATGAAATAATGGGAAGCATGAGAAATTGCTAACATATTTACTCCAGGGAGGGAGCCTGTGTGACTGGAGAACTGGAGTGGGAAGTAGACTCCGTGATACAAGTGGATTTATCTTTTGAATTCTGAACCATGTAAATGTTACCTATTAAAAGTAAATCAAAACTGAAACCAGGTCAGTTGGAAAATGAATTAAGAACATATCTAAGGTGTCAGAGTGATTAAAAAAAAAAGTGGCCATTAAGTCCCGAGTGTCTGACATGTGGTATGTATTTGTTAATTGAACAAATATTCCTGTTACTTTGCAAATTTACTTAATCTCTAACATGAGCTGCTGAACTTTAAAAAACGAATCCAGGTTTTCCTGATGGAAAGGTAATACACTGTGTGGATCACCTCGAAGCAATACAGGTTGTCAGGAATGAAATACTTTAGCTCTTTCAGACTCCCCTTTTCCCCTTTTCTTTGACTATTATCTTTTTTTTTTTTTTTAAGAGTTGCGAGTCTTTTTTTTTTTTTTTCCTAATTAATTTATTTATACAAGCACTGGGTACAGTCAGAAGCGCAGGACGGTGAAAGAATTCACCAGAGCCAGAGAGCAGAGAGCAGAACAGAGAGACTGACGAAATACACTGCTGAGGGGAGCAGTGGGCGGCAGGAGAGGTCTGTGCGCCATGTGGGACCCTCACCCAGCAGCTGGGGATCGAACCGGCACTGCAGAGGCTGCGGGCCGCTTCGCAACCCAGCGTTCAACCGCTGCGCCACCAGGGAGGCCCTCCTTGACTATTATCTTAACTATATATCTTCTCAAGTCCACTTTTTTTTCTTTTTCCTGAAGTTTTAGATTAACTTGGGTTCCAAGGTGACATATTAAAATATTAACCTAGTAATCATTTTTTAACTCTCAAATGAGTAGTTGTGGTATTTTTGTTTTTAATGGTTTCTTTTAAAATAAAAATACTGGCAAGGTTACTAGTAGAGTTTCTGTTTCAATGCTTAAAATATGAATTTGTACAACCTTTCTAAAAAATAGATTGTAATAATGACTTAAATTCTAAATTTTGTCATTTCTGTTATAATATTCAATAATTGTAAATAATATTACTTAGAAAAATAAAGTATATAAATGGTTGAACAGATAGTAAAGAAATGAAAAATAACATAAATGCCCTAAAATAAGTAATTGTTAAATAATATATTTTTTATACAATATAAGTTTTAAACAATAAGAAAATTTTTGTTAAATTTCTAACTTGGTTTTCTTTACATTTTTCAATATGAATAAACTCTTAAAAAGCAGGCTATAAAACTGCTTATGCAAGACAGTCTCATACACACACCCCAAAGAGATTGAACTGATTGTCTTAACTTTGTAGATGATGTTAACTTTTTTGTTATATTTCTTGACATTTTATTTCTCCATCTTCTGCAGTAGATGTTAGACACCAACTTAAAATTTTTAATAGATTCAGAAATGAAAACAATCTGAAATCTAATAGCTGACTGGAGGTTTTCCTATACGATCTGTGCCTTTTCCAATGAGATGTATTATTTATATTAATACACTTTTATATATAAATATTTCTATGTCTTATATATACTTATTTTTATCTTTATAAATTTTTTATATTTTGTGTATATATAACGTGTGTGTGTGTAAAAAACCATTCTGGAGATGGGCGTTCTAATCCTTAGTTTTTGCTGAAATAAGCCTTTGAACTTTGTGCTTTTTAAAATTTTGGCTAACGCTTTGGGATAGAGATGGGAAGGCTATTGAATGAAACCTTTAAAATTCAGTCACTTCAAATTTTGTGGTTTTACATTGCATTCAAAAACTTGCTTGTCATTTACCATTTCTGCTTGTCATTTACCATTTCTGGCTATTCTTTTTCACAGATCCCTAGGCAAGGTTATTCTATAGATGTTAGGTAATTTTTAGTGCTTTAAGATAAAATACAGTTTATCTAAAGGGAGGTATCAACAAAGCGAAAAAAGATTTTCTGGTAATATTTATGGTACTATGTTGATTGATGGGTCATATTACATAAGGTACCAAGAGCTACAGAACCTACAACTACTAATGTAGTTGAACATTTTTTTTCCCTAAGAGGGTTTTATTGTTTGATGAGGGACAGCTTGGATTAAGAAACTGCTTATAAACTAAATGTATAGGATCTCATTGTTTCTGCACATCATTGGGAATACCTTTTAGAAGTGATGTCCAAAAGATATAATTAAAGAATAATTATGATTTTTGTCATTCTTCTAATTGAGACACCACAGAGACTTGAGGCTTAGAATGTGATCAACTTAGTGCTAGGACACAATTGTTCTGGTGAAGCCTTATATAATGCTGTTACTTTTTCAGAGTGTTACAGAGGTAGGAACATGGGGAAGAAGCAATCTGGATAACATGAGAGTAATGCTGGTGGCTAAGAGAAGGCGACGTGACTCTGTGGGAAGGGCTATAGCTGATCCATCTGTTTTCTAGGTAAGTTGTTCTAAGTTGTTCACCTCATTATTTGCCAGTTCTAGTCATAACTGGATCATGATTTCCATTTATCTTTGGGAATGGCATCATTACACTGTAAGATGAAGGATGTCCTTTTAAAACTATAACTTGCATAGGAGAATTTAATGAATCACTGGATCTTTATCATATAAGTGCTAATAGATCTTAAGTTTTACTGCCAAGGGAAATGCCTTTGGGTAAATATATGAACAGGTTAATAAGTGACTAGGAGCCAAATAAATATTGAATGATAAGTACACATCAAGGCATGTGAGCTCTGTATTATTTAAGTGGTTAAAAAAAATAAGTGGGCAAGACCAAAACTGAGTATTAAGAACTAGAACTTTACTGACTAATATTAGGTAAACCTGAAGATTTCAGTCAGGCCATGATTATAATTCAGTATATTTACCCAGCAACCATTATATATGTATATATTCTAAGAGTGATCTTTTAATCTTTCTAAATGAGAAGAAAATAATAGCAGGTTGAAGGCACTTTAAACAATCAGTTCTCTAATTCAAAAGAAGGTCTAGCTTCATATTTATTAGAAAAACAATTTGATCGATGATGGATCTATGTACTTGTTTAATAATATGAAATAAACAGCAAGATGAATTAGTATTTCCCCTTTTTAGATAATAGAATTCAAATACTTGTAATGAGTGTTTGGAGAAGCAATTCTTAGATTAAGATAAAAGTTTGGATGAATCTGCTAAAGAATCAGAGGGTAAAGATCTATTTGAATATATCACAAAGCTTCCAGTATAAAAAGAGCAACAAAAAGAATTTTGATGATATGACAGACAACTTGGAACAGATCCTTTCATTGGATGTGGTAAAAACAACTCTTTAAAAAAAGATATATGATAACAGATTCTAGGAAACTATTACATCTAAGACAAAAACCATTCTTGAAATCTGAACTGTCATAATTTCATGTAAAGAGCATTACACATTCCCAAATTTTGGCAGGTTTTTTTGGAGGCGTGGGAAAGGCAGAATTTAGAGAACTACTTTGTTTATATTTGGAAATAACTTTTTGAATCCTAATCTGAAATTTGTTGTACAGATTTGAGTATGAGCACAGTTGAAGAGGATTCTGACACAGTAACAGTAGAAACTGTGAACTCAGTGACTTTGACTCAGGACACAGACGGGAACCTCATTCTTCATTGCCCTCAGAATGGTAGGAGAACTTGGTGACATATTATTATAAATCTCTTGAGATTTCTGACTTTATGACACTTTTGATCCCTATCAACCAGATGGTTTAACCTTAAAAGAGTAGAAAAAAGAGGTTATCTGTTTTGGATTATACATTAATGTTAATTCATGTTTTTATATTTTTTAAATATACCTTTGTATATTTTTTTAATTTGCCATAAGTTTTAACCTTTATGAATCTCATATCTATTTTATAAGTAGAATCTGTTGAGCCTCCAAAGAGGATAATGGATAACTATAATACACTTCCCCTTTGATACTATCGATACTGTTGGTGTATGTAGTACATTAGAAAATGTAGAAATCCTGCCATAGTGAGTAGGTGAACTATTCAATAGTGAATAAGATTCAACAGCCTTGAGGCTTGTGATTATGTTGTTAATTTTCTACCTGTTATTTATATTTTACTTTTACGTTCATCTTTGCTTAACCTTAGTTCTGTCTTCTCTTTTCACTCAATACATAATCCCTGGGTTTATTTCATTCAAGCTTATGGTTTTAAGTGTATCTACCTATCAAAATGACTCATCCTTTTGTCTTTATTCTGAATTCTCTGTTTGTCATAGGCTCCTTAAATTTCACATGTCCCAAATTATATTCTTTCACAAAATTCCCAAATCTAGTTTTATTTTTTCTTTTCTTGGTCAGTTTCATTGTTTTGTATCTCAGATCATAAGTAGGAATAGGAATAAATTCTTCTCTCACCTCCCACGTGAATTCCATCATGAGGACTTGATAGTATATATCTTGAATCCATTCCTTCCTCTCTGTCTAAAATCCATTCTTGGTTCAGAGTCTTACTTCTCACCTGGTTAGTTCTAGTAGCCTTTTGACAGTCTCCTTGTAATTCATTTCAAACTTTGGATCACAATGGTCATGCTACTTAGTATTATATGAAGATTTTTTTTTAAGTTTTCCATGTTTTATAGAATGTAATTTAGGATTTTTTTATTTGGCACATAAGCGTCTTAGCATTTCAGCTTTCCTTTCAGCCTCAATTCCCTGCCACATTTCCTATATCTGTTGCAACAGTCATGACTTTTTATTTTCCTAACTTAATGTTAGCCTTTCATACCTCACTTTCGCTGAACATACTACTCCTACTTCCAGTAATAATTATTTTCCCCTGGTTTCTGTTTCCCTTTCAAGTTTAAGACATCTTCTCCAGAAAAACTTCCTTCACCTCCAGTCTGAATCAAATACCTCTCCTCTCTGTTTGTATAACATCCCCTTCATTCCACTTTCACAGCTCTTATTACACTAGATATTACTTCAGTCATTTCCCGCCCTACAGTGTAAGTGCCTTGACAGACAGGGTACCTTTCATTGTTCTGTTACCAGTATTTAGCAGAGAGTAGACATTAAACAAATACTTGTGAACGAATAAATAACCAGCCTTTGTCTTTACATGTGACATATTTGGCCAAGTAAATAACAGCTCAAAAGTGTGATATTTTTAAAAAAATGGTACGGTTTGTTCATAGTCCTTTGTCATAAGAATAGAAACTAAGGTACTGCACTAGGTATACATACAGAATGCAATGTCTTTTTGAGTCCTGCTTACAAAAATGGATTTAGTTCACTGAACTAAATCAGTAGGAAGATTGTTTTGTAAGATTTTGTCTTTTCTCAATAAGTTTGGAAATTCTGAGATTTTTGTTACTTTATTTTCATTAGAAGCTGATGAAATAGACTCAGAAGATAGTACTGAACCTCCACATAAAAGACTTTGTCTCTCTTCTGAGGATGATCAGAGTATTGATGGTTCTACTCCTTGCATATCAGTTGTTGCACTTCCACGTAAGTTACTGTATATTATGAACTGAGAGCTCCCTTTTGAAAGAAAATTTTAGCTTAAAAGAGACCAAGTTGCATTTCAACGTAGGCTTGGACACATTATTTTTCTCTTCATTTAGTGGGGGAAAAAAAAAAACAACTTTTTAATTAATACCTAATGAATGCATATTTATATGCCAGACATAGCTCTAAATCTTTCTGCATATAATGTCTAATCTTCTCAGTCTTTTCATTAATGAATTATATGTATGTCCTTGCTTTGTATTAAAGAGTATGATTTTTCCACCTGCCCTCAATAAGCATATGTGCCCTTAATGAGAAAGTTTGTTTTAGTATAGATATTAATATTACCTTACTGTAAAAATGAGGATATGAAGGTACAGAGAGGTCTAATAACTATTCTAAAGTCATCTCAAGCCTTTTGAGTCTTGCAGTTCATACTATTAGCCACAGTGCTACCCTGCCTCTTTATATGGAATATAGCTAAATGAAGGTTAGAGAGAAGCCTGATTAGTTTATTCTCTTAAGAAAGTTTTTAACATGTTTATATTTCAAGATTATTGAAAATAAACCAGCTTCTAAGAAGATATAGTATTTTTACTATACTATTGACTGAATATTACATGGTGTGGAATACTATTGACTAAATACTACAGTGTGCCAGCTATAACACCAGATTTTATTTCTGATGTGTTTAGCAAGAATATGAAATCTTGTTGAATTATAGTGACCCCAAAAGGCTGGAATAAATGTTTCAGTCCCTGGCAATGGGGTTGGGACACAAAGCAATTGATGGCACTCTATGCAGAAGAGTCTTGTCATATCTAAGAACTTTCATTCTGTGCCCAGCATTCAGCAAAATCATACCCTCTTCCAGTGGGAAAAACTAAGACTAGTTTTCATCTTGGAAAATCATGTCTCTACAAGTAGATATGTGTTCTGTATTTACAGAATTAATTGCTTAGTAAATTGGAGAGAAAAGAAATTATACAGTTTACTGACAATGTTAAATGTTAATAGTTTATTCATTTCATTTATGGCTTATATAATTTACTTCTAGTTAGATGATTTCCTTCTAATGAGGATTCATGTGATTTTTAAAACTCTCTCCTAAGTCGACTGGCATTATATTGTGATTCAGTTTTAAAATGATTGACCTATTTACAGAGATGGAATACAAAATGGAGATGGACTTGACATAACATTAGTTTTGGTCGTACAGTGAAGTGTGTGTGTGTGTCTGTGTACACATAGTTAACATCCATCACCACATATTTACAAATTCTTTTTCCTTTAATGAGAATTTTGAAAATCTCTCTTAGCAATTTTAAAATAGGCAATGTATTTTTATTTAGGATAGTAATATCCTGTATATCATATCTCTGAGACTTATTTAAGCTAGAATTTTTGAGTAATCATTGTAATATAAACAATGAGTGGTTAATTCATTTGGTTAGAGTGAAATTCAAAACTGCACCTGATAAATTTGTTCTATTTAATGATGTTAGACTGAATTCTTCACACCCTCATTCATTTAACTGGATAAGATAATATGGAAGTATTGACATAACAGCAGAAGTACTGCATAGTATTATATCAGCATCATTTCATGGAAGATGTTCTCTGGAGCCTAATATTTACAATAAAACTGAATTTATGAAGAGCAGACTTGAACTTTTACATGTTCCCTGAATTTATAAAAAGTATGCTGATAAAATCAACATGGGATAGTTTATACATTTTAACAGTTACATTAAAGCATTAAATCTTATATTTATCACTATCATCTAGGACTGATGATGAATGGGCAAATCATTATTTGTGAGAATTTGTGGAGGTGAATTTTAGTTTTTAAAGATATACCTTTAAATTTAATATGCAGGTTTTCTTTATATGCTTTATAAAACTGATGATAACATTTATCTGTCTGGGGCTTAAAAATTCTCTTAATTCTCATATTAATCAGACAGGACCATTACCTGACCACTTCTTTTAATATTCATCTACTACCATAATTATTATATTCTGTATTCATAGTTACAACTCTAGATGACTGTTCATTTATATGATTTTTGCAGTACCTTAGCCTCTTACTTCTTCCACTCTCCACACTGCCTCATTTATCACTCCCATCCTGCCATTACCTATTGACTGGAGTCCATTTGTGATCTGCTTTAGGCATTGATTTCCTACTACTGCTTCCCGTCTTTCCAGTTTGCTTCCTCTAATACACTTTTAACTCCTGCAATCCTTTGCCCACTGGGGCCCATTAATCTTAATTTATTCATTGTTCCTTTACCACTATATGCTGTAATTCTTACACACTTTCAGTTTCTTAATCATTATAATCAATATCTTGCATTTACTCTCAAACTGTATCTGTTCCTTCTCACTTCATTAATTTTTGGTGAAAACATAACTAATTAGGGGCCTCCCCGGTTGTGCAGCAGGTTGAGTGCTGCATTGTGGAGCTGTCTGCACCCTCTGTAACTCCGGTTCAATTCCCGACCGGCCAGGGAGATTCCCACGTGGGTGGCAGACCTCTCCTGTCTCGCCTGCTGCTCCCCTCAGCAGCACTGTCAGTCCATCTGCCTGTTCTGCTCTCCGCTCTTTCTCTGGCGAATCCTCTCACCCTCCCGTGCCTCTGTATAAAGAACCCCAGTTCTTGTATAAAAATAAATATAGCTTCAAAAAAAAAATAACTAATTAAATATATCTGCCTATTTATGTCTGTACCAGTACAGCTAATTGGAAGGGATCGAGGAAAACAGTACAAGCAAGCTGATTGGTCTCACTTTATAAAATCTATGATCATTTACTTAAGGTGCGCTTATAATGTTGTCTACCATTCATAGCATACTGAGTTCTTTCTCCCACTCTGAGATGACTATTTCATATATCCTAGGTACATTTTCTCTACCTTTCTTATTCTCAGTGGATAACCCTGCTTTCTACTTTACTGAGAAACTGAAGTAGCCAGAAAATAGTATTTACAAGTTTCAACTACCACACATTTTTACGTCCGTATATTTCATCTTTTCTCCTAGCTAAGGCCAGCCCTTCAGTTTACTAGATATTACCCTTTTTCCTATTCAAGGAATAGGAAATGGAATTCAAGGAATAGTACATTGTTGCAACAACTTTCTGATTATTCTTCTGAATCAATAATTTTTCGTTCTCTATTGGATCATCCCTATTAGCATTACTAGCATATCATATCTTAAGATAAGAAGTTCCATTGGGCCATTTTTGGCTCCCATACAGTTTCTCTCATGTTCTTTAGAGCAGAATACCTAAAAGAATTTTCTATACTTGCCTTCATTTCTTTCTCCATCCTTCCTTAAACCACTCCATTCAGGCTTTCATCTCAAACATTTTACCAAAACTGCCCTTCCCAGATCTGTAGAGAACTTCTTGTTGCTAAAACCAATGATAATTTAGTTTTTTATTGTACTTGATCTAACCAGTTTTTGATATTGCTTATCATCTCCTCCTCCCTAACACATTTTGTTGCTTGTCTTCCTGAGAAACATATTCCTCTAGTTTTCTTCTTCATTTTCCATCCATTTCTCTTCAGCCTCTCATGCTAGCTCCCCAACCTCTAACTGTGGGGAGTACCCTAGGACTCAGATGAATTCCGTTTTCTGTTTTTACTCTCTGTAATTTGTGGTGTTAAATCCTATTTCTAGAGGTGATTCCCAGATTTATTCCAGTCCACATTTCCAGTAACTTTAGAGGTTTATTATGTTTCTCAAACTATTATGTTTAAAACTGAGCTCTCTCTCGTCTGTTAGCTTCTTAACTGATTTCATACTGGCCCTTTTGGTTGTTTTCCCCATAGCAACTAGAGTGATCCTGTTAAAATAAAAGTCAGATTATATCACTCCTCTATATCTGCCAGTAGTTTCCCACAAGAAAATTAAAAAGCCAAAGTTTTTACAGTGGCTTGAGTTGCCACATGATATCTTTCTGACCTTCTTCAATCTGCTCTGGGCACATCATACTGCTGGGTATTTCTGTGAATAGTCCAAGCATGCTCCTATCTCAGAGCCTTTGTCCTTTGACTTTTCTTCTGCCTGAAGTGCTTTTTTCTCAAGATACTTGCATGTTCAACTCCCCTTCTTACTTTGTTCCAAGTCTTGGTTACTTTTGCTGGCCTCCTATCTAAAATTTCAAAACACCACCCCCACCCCCATTCTCTCAACACATTCTCTTTCCTGCTTTATTTTTTTCCTTATCACCTTCCAACATGATGTTTTCATTATGTGTCTCCTCCACCACTGCAATTGCCATGAAGTCAGGGTTTTTGTTACTTTTGCTCTCTGCAGTCTCATCACCCAGAGCAATAATATAGTATGTATTAGCTGTACAATAAATATCTGTTAAGCATATAAATAAGCAGGTATATTGGCAAAGAATATTAAGAAATTAGATTGTCACTTGTGTTTTCATGAATTTTTTAAAAAAGAATTAGAACCTACCATTATTATTCTGGAGTTGGACTGTTCTTTTTTTCTTGAAGTTTCAGAAAATGATCAGAGCTTTGAGGTGACCATGACTGCAACCACAGAGGTGGCAGATGATGAGATTACTGAGGGAACAGTGACACAGATCCAGGTATAGTAAGTCTACTTGGTGTGAGAGAATTATCCTTTATGCATAGTTAAGCTGGAAAAATGATGAGAATATATTTTGTTTGACAAAGTAACCACAAAATTGAGGTAAGACTTACTATTACTACTTCATTTCAATTTCATATACAAGTTTCAAATTGTAAGCAAAGACAGTTTTAAAATTCATTCCCTGTGGAGTGGTTCACATCTGTTGAAACAGATGATGCATGGGCATTCTTTATTTACATGAAGTGATTTCACCTGAGTTACTGAATAACTTTACATTTTATCCTACAGTTGCATGAGATGCTTGTTAGGATATAAACCTTTTTAATTTAAGTTTTACCTACCAATTGCCTGTAGTGACTGATTTAGAAAGGTCCTGTGCATTGTTTGTTCTATTGTGAATGGAAGCTAGTCATTTTAAATATATTTTTAATAATAACAGTCATAGCTACATTAGTACCTCTCCTTTTGGTACTTATAGCGCTAGATACACTTTGCCATGTGTTAAGATTTTGGATAATTATTGTCTTACAGTTTTTTCCTTAATGTGTATTCTTTAATTGTCTCATATAACTAGCTAAGTTACTCCTGTCAAAAGTAAGCCAAATTCTTTGCTCTCTCTTTAAGGCTGCAACTTAAATCTATTTTATTTTAAAACTTTCTCTCTGATTGATTGTGCCTTTCATCCTTTTTCCTTTATCTTTTATTTAATAAAATATTTTTGAAGTAGGCAGTAGAGACATTGTACCATTAGTTTTATTTTTTTTTTTTATGTGAAGCATCACAATGACCCTTATTCAGTTAAGAAGCATAATAGTTTCAAGTTGATGCATAACATCAAGAATGAGGACATCTTGCCATGGGTGCACAGTGACTCTTTTGCAACAGGGAGCTTCAGAGTTATTTCAGATTTGAGGATTTCCAGAGCAGTGAGTCTCTGATGTGCTTCAAATAACTCTGAGCTAGGCTGGAGATCTTCATAATCTGCCCTTGAATTTCAGAGGGTGATTTAAACAAGAAGTTTTTCCAAGCCCTCTGAATAATTAGAACACATCTTTCAAATGGGACTTAACAGATTCAAAGTCTATGTAGTCACTTCAGTTCTGTTTTTGATACAGTAAAAATAACTGTATACATATGTTTGATTTGATTTACAACCTGGTTATCTAAGATTGAGCAGTAGCAATGTTATAAGACAAATTATAGGATCATTTTGTTTGGGCTGTATCCTAAATTAATGAGTTACAATTTAATATTAGTTTCTTGGTTTGTTATTACCGTTTTAATAAGTGGAAAACTTTTATAATTCCTAAGTTTGTTTAATTACATTAAGAAAGGTTGTGAATGAAGGTCAACATGTCATAAAATTCAGAAATAGTTTTGAACTTTGGCTATACCCTTTTTCACGAAACCAGTTACAGAAATTTTGCAGTTCAATAGTTAATATATGATGTCTTATTCCAGTGATGGGGATCTCTCTCTCTCTCACATATATATATAGAACTTTGTGGTTGCAAGGACTCATTTGGTGCCATTTTCAGGTTGTTGTTTTTTTTTTTAAGATTTCTAAGCCCGTATATGTTATAGACGAACAATTTTCAGACTTATTTTAAAAGCAGCATTATATCAAATAAAGCTTGAGTAATTTTAAGATTTCTGCATAGAGAAAGATCAATAAAATACCATGAAAGGTATTAATATCTATATACTAGGCATAGATGGACACTTTAAGGTCTCTAATTGTCCTGCTATTCTCATTTACTCATTTGTTATTGGCGGTGTTGAATATTTCTGCTAACCTTAATAATTATTTGCTTCATTTGATGACTGTCTAGTTGTTTAACATTATACAACTTAAGTAATAATTGTTATTCATCACAAAAATTTGAGCTATAAGACATTATTTACCTAAAGATAGCAATTAATCAGCATAATGGGTTTGTTCCTAAGGCACATAAAGTGGACATTGCTGTATATATAAACTCACTTTGGGAAATGCTGATTTTATTCTTTTGACCAACTGATTAAGAGAAGACCAACTCATTAATTTAGGATTCAGCATAAACAAAACGATGATAGCTTGTTAATTCTTTACTTTCTATATTACAGAACTTAAAAGAGGGTATTGTGTGTATTAAAGTCTTTTGATAGCTAGCTTCATCATCCTTATTGAATAACTTCTAATGAAATTCAATGCATTTGTGATCTTCAGAATACAAAAGACCCTAGACATCATCTGTCAGGCCTGTCTCAATTCTCAGCTTTATACAGAATATTTTAAATGTATGACACATAAGTATGGGTTTTAAAACTTTCCATATTTATTCCAGTGATTTCTAGCTTTTTGCCCATGGATTTAAAAAATTTAAAAAGGTATTTTCATAAATAGAGTATATTCATTATCACCAGATATAAAAATAAAGTAAATGACAATAGAGGTGTGACTTTTCTCATTAGGCTTTGGTTGCTCACTGACAGCTTCTCTTTTTCTCAGTGAAATTGGTTTCATTCCTTCTTGGAATTAGAAATTCATTTTCTGCTTAAACAAGAAATAGTCCAGGACTATTAGGACAGTCAGGATTTACCTCTATCCAGTGATAATGCTTCACAGTTGATTCATTTCAGAGAGTAAACTGGGTTGAGTGGTCACTAGGCATGTGACTCCCCTTACCAATTTGCCTGTGATAGGTTCATACCTGACTAAGGTGTTACTGTTACCAAATCTTCCTGTCTTATACTATAGCTCTCTTTAGCCCAAGGTCAACTCTCTGAAAGGTATCTTTGTTCCTGCATAATATGTTAGATTAAGTATGTCTGTAATTTAAAATATACCTGTGACATTAGCATATATATACTGAAAACCACTGGTTTTGTATACTTGAAAGATTAATTTTATGGTATGTGACTTTTATCTCAGTAAAGATATTTTTTGAAATATGCATTTCTCAACAAAAACTGCTTTAACTGCAGTAATAAAAGAAATAGTACTATATAGCTATTTAAGAAGAAGCCATATTAATGAGGGCAAATCAGCTCTAGTGGTCGGCTAAAACAAAATTGTCAGTAAACAATAAATCAAGATTTTGCAATAATGCCTTCTGATGGCCTGTTAATTATTTAAATTTAGCAAGAGATTATATTACAGATATATAGGCAGCGGATTACCTATGAAGACATTAACAATCATAACTCAATCCTAGCATTTCCATTTATTGTATATATGAGCTCATTTTACAAATATAAAGACATAGTTTTGGATAGCCTATATTGATTTAAATGCTTAATGGAATAGTCTGTAAAATTCAGCTCATCAGTACAGAGCTACTTGCGTAAATGAAGGTCGTATTTTATTTAATGTATATAATTTTGTTTTCACATTGCCACAATTATAAAGACTGTCTTTCTAGAAATTTTAAATATATTTTTACTCTATGAATGAATTATAAACAAAGGTGAATTGAGTTGGTTATTAAATCATGTTGCCTTTTTTTTTTTCCTTTCACTTTTGCCATTTTAAGATTCTACAGAATGAGCAACTAGATGAAATATCTCCCTTGGGTAATGAGGAAGTTTCAGCAGTTAGCCAAGCATGGTTTACAACTAAAGAAGATAAAGATTCTCTGACTAACAAAGGTACGACATACAGTGAATTTTAGTGTCCAGTGGAAAATAATGGAGGTAAAAAAGCTTATAGTCAACAGGATTATTCTGGATTAGACCTTCAAATAATTGTGATTGATTAGTTACAAAAATTGAGCTTTTCTAATTGACTTAAATTTAGCTCTGAATGAGACCATGACACCAACATTTGTTTTTCAGTAATCGATGATTATTTTTTGATATGAAGTAGATTTTATCTTGTTAATTTTGAACACACGTACAGGGTGACGTTTAGAAGACAAAACACTTGTATATGGAAGTGTGAAGTCAAGTGAAGCCTTTTTAAAGATCATAGAAATTTAAAGTAGCATAGTGTTTAGTGTTGCTTTGCTCCTAAGGATTGCTAGGAAGTTGCCACAAGTATATGACACTGTGAATTACAGAAAGGAAACAAAAGTAAGCTAAATAGACTGTTTTCCACCGCTGTAAATACTCATTTGGAATGTATTACTCACTTATTATCCACTGTATTTTGTTTACCTCATCTTAAAATCTTTTGTACTTATTCTTTAGCCCATAAAATTTATTTTTCGTTAGAAAAACTTTTCAGAAAGTTTGAGTATGATTTGGCTTTTCTATATTTTTAAGTCCTTAGTTGTTCTGTACTGCCGAAAGTGTAAGAGAAATAAATAACTGAGGGGAAGTAATTTTTTTTCAAACTTTTACTCACTGTCTTTATTTAGTATGATCAAATATATAAAACTAGAGGTTATAAAAAGCAGCTTTCTCTGGAGATCTTTCAGTTTTCAGATGAATGAGAAATTGCATTAGCTATATTTTATTCTTACAGATAAATTACTATATAACAAAATAAATCTTTGGTATTTTATTCCTCTCAAGGAATAACATTTTCGTGACCTCACTTTTTTTCTTTTAAAGGACATAAATGGAAGCAGGGAATGTGGTCCAAGGAAGAAATTGATATTTTGATGAACAATATTGAACGCTATCTAAAGGTATCTTGCCGCATATATTTTTGTTTTTCTAATTTGTTTACTGCCAATTCCAAAACTCCCAAGGCAGCATATTATATATAAAGAGTTTTTTGTTAACTTTTGTAATGGATGATTGGTCAATATATTGTAATTTAATAATTGACTTTTCAGTTTAAAATAGCTTTATTGCTTTAGTCAACACCTGAAATTCAAACACAATTTTAATAGTCTCTCAGAATCATAATGCTTTGTCTTTTTAAGCAGCCAGTAATTAGCGTTTAAGCTTACATTTTCTAAAGCCTAAGATATGTATCCTCTTTGAATTAAATTATAATTATAATTAAGTCATTCCCTTGTTTTAAAAAATTTGGTTTATTTTCATATTTGGGCTGATTTCCTGTTAGCTTAATTGTTCTCTTGATTAGAATGTCTGTTGAACACATATTTTTGAGGTGCTGGAGATAAAATTATTTAACATGTAGTGTTTGCATTTTAAAAGGCCTGGCATTTCATTTGGGAATGCTGAAGACAGCTAAAGAATGCTATAAGGCTTTGTAGCATGTGAGAAATACATGTTGTGAATTCTGAATGAAATGAGAGAAGAGTATATTCTCACAATTGTACAATTATGGAAACATTTTTCAAGAACAAGGATGTGAGCTGAGTTTAAAGGGGTAGAACTCACACTAGAATAAGACTGGAGGGAGCAGCATGAGTAAAATGTTAAGTACTAAGGAACCAGAGATCAAATCCAGAGAACATTTAATTAATCCCTTTAACTTGAACCAAGATAATTAGCTTCTGCAAACTAGTCTTTGGAGTCTAGCCCAAAGAATTAGAACTTTGTCCTATAAAAATGAAAAAAAAAGGTACCTTAATTAAATGAGACATCAGTGAGATAGTTCTGAGCTCTTCTCAACGACATCTTTCCAAGGACTTGCTGTTGGTCCCTGTAATGGAGTCAAGTAGTACATATTTGAAATATAGATCATTAGCATTATTTAAGAATTTATTTAACCATTCTCATATTGCTTGGTACTTAGGTTATTTATAATATTTCTTAATCTTTCTTAAGCTTAATTTTAAGTTGCACTCTTCCTAAACAAAACTTTGTATACTGTAGTTAAAAACTTTAATCCTTTCTTCATGAATATTCTCTTCACCAAACTAATTGTTTGAGAAGAAACAAATACAGTGACCATCAGAAATGTAGTGAAGTTGTACACTGGTCACATACGCTTTAGTTAAGACTGGAGAAAGGCTGTGGATTTAGATAAATCAGTAGCAAGTCGTAAGAATACCAAACTTTAGGAAGTAAGCCTGTTTCTTGTCTAGGGATTAGAGTAGATAATCTCCAAGGACCCTTCCAACTGTATGATTAGAGGACAGGATCATAACTAAACTTTGAAACAATTAAGATGACCATCACTTGACCAGGTGTGGGTAGTAAGAACTTGGAACTACATGGTGGAAATAGAATTGGCTGGGAAAGAGCAAATAATTAAGCCTTTATCTAAGGAAGGTTGATGACTGGATATTAGGGCAGAAGGAAAATGAGTAATGTTTGTTTTGGATGACTGGAAGAATGCTAATGGGATAGTAGGAAAAAACAAATGTCCAAGAAGATATACTGATCTTAGGAAAAGATCATTTGTTTGAATTTGATTTTTGACCATTGTTTTTATTATGGGATATTTTTAATAACATAGTAAAACCATTTTTAAACCAATTAGTAGACATCATATATTCCATAATTTGGGTAAAAGGATAAATAAAAGTCACTGACAAACCAAAAAAAGGGGGGTGAGAATCATTTATCTCACTGTATGGTCATCCTGCAACAGTGCTTTGTATGTAGGTGCTTGGTAAATAATTAGGTTTAATCGTTTATAGAATTGAAATTGCATAAACAGAAGAATTTTAGAAAAGATTATAAAACTCAAACATTTTACTGAGACTTTTACATTAAGTCTTATACACTCAGGAGAGTATACAATGTATATACCACTGTAATTTTACCTGTTTTGAACTTTTTGTAGAGTGTCCTATAACTGGCTCCTTTCGTGGTTTGAGATCCATCCTCTTGATTTAAAACTGTACTTCATTGTGCAAGTATATTTACTATAAGTTATCCATTCCACAGTTATTGGTCTTTTGGGTCCTTTCTAGTTACTTGATTTTTTAATTTGTATAAATTTGAATGGTGTGAGTGACATTGTTTTAATTTGTGTTTCTCTGACCACATATTTTTATGCTTATTGACCATTTGTGTTTCTTCTTTGAAATGCCTGTTTCTTTCACCAATTTTTCTACAGGATTGTTTCTTTTTCTGCACATCCTTAATATATGTAGCATACCAATAGCTTTTTGGTTATTTGTGTCACAGATCTCTTGTCTCAATTAAGTGCCGTATCTTTTCCTTCTCATGAAGTATCATTTGATTAAAAAGTATTCTTAATTTCAGTATCAAAATCATCTTTTTACTTTTATGATTTACATTCTTATTTAAGAAATCCTCTTTTACCTCAAGGGCTTAAAGATATTATATAGTGTCTTGATAGTTTTGCCTTTCATACTGATTTTTTTCCCTGCAGGCGTGATAATAGGGTTTCATTGCTCTGGGTCTTTTGCATGAATGACAATTGTTCAATCATTATTATGGAATGATATTTTTTCCATCTCCTAAATCAAGCCTCCAGAGACTTGTATTCTTCAAGCTTTCAAATGTATTCCCAGGTTCTGTTTGTTGATACCTACACTACTAGCACTGACTTGAGAAATCCTGGTTTCTTATAGGGCAAGTCTCTTCATAAATGTCTTGACTGTTCTTAATTATCTCTTTGCTCTTCAATTATAAATTTAGAATCGATTTGTAAGAATGAAAGACTTGTGGGATTTTTCTTGGCATTGCACTGAAGTTTTGCATTATTTTGAAGGGAATGCGCATCCTTACAATATTCCATCTTCCTGTTGAATGTTGTATAGTGCGTGCCCTATTTTAGTTCTTTAATGTTTTTTGAAAGTTTATTAAATATGGATATTGAATTTTATGAATGTTCTTTTAACATCTATTGAGACTACATTTTTCTTCATAAATCTACATATGATTAATAATAATTTTTTATTATTAACCTTTTTATACATTGCTAGATTCAGTGTGATAAAATATTTTAAGAATTTGGGAATCTATGTTAATAAATGATCTTGATCTGAGAATTCTTCTCTGAAACTTGTCTGGTTTTGCTATTCAGATTAGGCTAGCCTAATAAAATAAAAGGTAGAGAGCCCCCCTCATTTTTTTCTTTATTCTTGAATAGTTTAAAATCGGAATTATGTTTCTTTGACTGATTCATTTGTAGGATTTAGCTGTAAAATCGTCTGGGCGTATTGTTTTTCATTGTGGGAAAATTACTAATTGATAAAATTTTGTTAATGGTCTGTACTTAATAGACTTTTTCTCTTTTCCTGAGTCAGTTTTGGTAAGTTGCCTTTTTCTAGGAATTTATTCTTAAATTTATTCAAGTTTATTGTTTTTGTAAGTTTTCAAATTATTGCCATAAAATTTTCATAATGTTTGACTAATGTCTATAGCATATCATACTTATTAATACCCCATTTTTCATTTCTATTGTTCGTTTTCCCCTGTTTATCTTTTTGTATTTTATAAATCTTGATGGAGATTTTTCAGAGAATCAATTTTTATTGCATTGTTTTATTTTTCCTGTTTTTTATTTGATTTGTATCCATTAATTTTCTTTCTGATTTTTTTTTTTCATTCTATTTAGATTTTAAATTTTTATGATTTTTAAAAGGGGGTGGCAGGACTTTATGGATTTAAGACAGTATTTTGGGAGCATTTGAGTATCACTTTATTTCCTTTGCCACATTTTAAAGTTTATATTTGACTTATTAATGAATTAGCAGTGCATTATTTTTCTAAATGCCATTGATGATTTTTGACATAGAAAAACAACTTTTAAAAAGCATTTTATCAGAAATCCCTAAATCAAAGAAATGTAACCCATTTAGGCTCGCGGAATAAAAGATGCTACAGAAATCATCTTTGAGATGTCAAAAGACGAAAGAAAAGATTTCTACAGGACTATAGCATGGGGTCTGAACCGGCCTTTGTTTGCAGTTTATAGAAGAGTTCTTCGCATGTATGATGACAGAAACCATGTGGGAAAGTATGAAAACTTGTAATGCTGCATGTTTTCATGTAATTAAGGGAAATAATTTAGGAACTGTCTTTTTTAATGTAGTTATAATCAAGACTTTAATTAGAGACAGCTATGGATTACTGTTGAATTATGTTAATATTTTTATTCTCCAGGTCTATAGTGTGAATATGGTGAAACTTTAGTGTAATAAAGCCCCTTTTAGAAATTAGAATATTAAAAACCTGTAAGCTAGTTTTAATTAACTGACTATATACATCAAAGTCTGCTTTTGTAGTAAAAAGTAACATAAAAATTATAGTGTTGAAGATTTGGGAGATAATGGGAAGAGCTCTAAAATTCTTCAATAACATTTTACCTGTTCATCCTTATAGTATAGCAGTTCCTTGGTTAGTCGCTTTTTAAAATAAAACCAGAGTGGATAGTAACTAAATATCTGGAAATGATGCATGGATTTTTATTATACATAATATTTACTGGCAGGCAATAGTGGAAAAATTTATATGGTGTTACTAACATTTTTAGTTTCTCTTTGGAAATTATAGGTGTTGGTAGTATGGCATCCTAGATATTGCTTTTTTAAAGAACAATACATTGACTGTATTGAGTTCTTCTCCACTTTAAAAAAAGACCTGTTACATTGGCATAAGAGTGTGTCATACATCCATGCATGAGTTAAAAAAAAAAAAAAGAAAACAATTTAAATTAAGTGCTTTGTGAAAATTCACTGTAGATTTCTCTTTAGCTCTGGTTTATAGTGTCATCCATGAATTTTGAAATAATTGTGCTATTTTAGTGCCTGAGCTTAATTTTGAAATAAAGGAAGAATCAGGCAGCATAGGAGAAACACATGATTTAAGTGTTGAGTTTTCCTAGAGAAATTGTACTGTGCTCACTTTATTATACTAAAAGTATTTGTTTTTTAAAAAGGAAAATAGAAACATTAATTTTAATAATTATTAATCTAGTTTGAAATTGACTACTTTAAATTTAAAAATTAATTTTCAGTATTCCAAGTGACTTAACATTCAACTCCCTAAGTAAAATTTTTATTGTGGCTTTTGGCATTCTTTATTTTAATTGATTTTTTTTAATTTCTTTAAATTTTCAGATATACACCTGAGGAAATTGAAAAGCTCAAGGAGTAAGTTTTTAAATTTTTTCATTGATCCTGATAGTTGGGTGGGGAGGATAAGTTTTTGTTGTTTTTTTTTTTTTTAGTCTTAGTTTTCACTTTAAAATGTCAGATTTTTGTTAGATTAGTATAATTTAATCCTGCTGTTGAGTATGTTTGACCATTAAAAGAGTTTATAAAATACAAACCTGCACCAAATAGTCATACTCTTAAATTTAGTCTCTTCCTGTTGCTAGTCACCAAACAAATGTGTCTTTAGACCACTAATGGGATTTACAGAAGAGATCAGAAGCCATTCTTGGTAGACTGAGGACTAAATTTGGAGAACTTACAAACCAGATCAAAATCAGGGTTATACTATATGGCTTAGTTTAGAGTGATTTTTTTCCAAATATTTTGCTGGATTTCTGGGCTAACCATTCTGTTTAGAAAGGCTATTTCACAGGAAACATAATTTTGTACATTGAGTTAGGTATTAATGGATTATGTGTGTGGATCATAAAAAACAATTGAAAGTTGATCCTGTTCATGGTGATAAGGACTTGTGGAACTTTTTCAGCTATCCAAGAAGAGCTTACTAGGATTACTCAAACGGGAAAAATCTGGGGATTGCCTGGGAGATTGTATCAATAACCTGAGGGGAAATTTGGTCTTTTTTGAACACATATCCAAGTTACTTATTTCTTCTCTGACCCAGGAAAAAGGCAATTGCTGCCTGTTTTTTTTTCACCCACAGACAACTGTGGACCCCAAAAAAAGGCCACACTTTCAAACTTTGGCTCTCAAAGTATTGCTGCCCACAACTTCCAAACCAGTCAAATGGGAAGAAGAAGAATGAAGAATAAATGATGAAATTAAAAGGGAGAAAACAGTTGAACCCAATGCTGATTGGCAGACTCTTGTTTTAGGCTCCGGATAAAGCATGGCAATGACTGGGCAACAATAGGGGCGGCGCTAGGAAGAAGTGCATCTTCCGTCAAAGATCGGTGCAGACTGATGAAGGATACTTGCAACACAGGTACTGTGAGTGCCATGGGTGACGTTTTTTGGCTGCCATTTGAGCATCTTACCTCTGTCAGATACTGCTTTATTCTTTTGTTCTGAAAAGAAATGTCATTCACATTAAATTTTATTTTCTAAATTTCCTTTTTTCCCTGAAGCTTAATAGACCCATTAACCTTTCATTGTTGTGCTTTTGTGTAAAGTGACATTGCTCATGGGGATCCAGTATCATCTCAGTTTCTAAAGATTTGGATCTATCATGTTGAAATTTTGTAGCAATTCAAAATTCTAGTTGGAAAAGTATTTTTAAGACTATTGTATACAGGTATTTTTAAGGCATATATACTGCAAGTAATTTTACTTTAGTCCCACCTAACTGTTGAACTTATATTAACGGTTTCTTAATCAATTCACGTTTATGAAAACACTTAGCTCCAGGAATTCCCAATTTAGGAAGAAGCTGTGTTCCAAAGGTTTGTGTATTTTCCTTACTTCAAACTTACGTTTTTCTGTAGGAAAAAAAAAATGTGGCTGGTGTTTCACTACCCAGCCTAGAGCATAAATGGCTTTTCAGTTCTTAATGTGTAGAAATATACTAGTGATGCCATTACACCTACCCTTTGTAACCAATAGCAGTATTTAATGGTCTACCACTACCTGTCATTTAACCTTTCTGAATCTCAGTTCCCTCTGTAAAGTGAAGAAGTCAGAATAGGCGATCTCATAGTTGCCCTTTAGCCCTGATGTTCCCCAAAGAATCCACAATGCATGTTCAGTCTTTCAATAAGAACAGTACTCAAGTTAAGCTTGAACTTCCAGGAACTAGTGTTTCCTATCCTCACTCCCTCTACATTGCCAGAGTGGAATCAAGAATGATTCCTGCTTAAATAGTCCACCAGCATTATTAACTGCAAGGCAGTGAGAACATAAATTCCACCAACTTTGTCTTCTGTGGAGGATGACAGCATAAATGAATAAAGCGGGAATGGCAGCTTAGATTTAGGATGGGACCCAGAGATTCATATAAGATAACTGAATACAGAACACCTTTTGTTAGCATAATTTGGGGAAACGTGCCATTCCCTGACTGCCAGTCTGAGGGATTCACCTACCATCTTCCTTTCCAACTGCTGGGCATTATTTCTGACTAGGCGTTCTCTTCTGTCGCACCATGAAACAATACAGACTGAGTTTTCCCTTCCTTTCATATCATGCTAAAATGGGAGAGCAGAACTTATTCTTGAATCCATGGTGGGCATATAACATAATAGACATTTAATAAATATTTGTTGAATGTATGATCGATGAAGCAAGCACATCACCTTGTAGAAGTTTTCGAAAAGTTATTATCTGCTCAAGCTCCTTAGGAAATGGACTAAGTAAAACATTTGATGTCCTTAGTGGCTTTACAGGTTCAGAAAAACCTGGAATAAAAGTATGCTTAAATAGCAGTCTCACACTTTACTGATATTCCATCAAAGTAGCCTGGAGCTGGAGAAAGTGGATGGTATAAACCTAGTTTTCATTTTCACTGGTGAAAAGTCATGGGTATTTCCTTGGCCATCATCATTTATTCTTGTAAGCAGTGGTCTCCAGTGAACTTGCTTACTCCACTTCTATAGCGCAGGGAGTCTTAAATGAGACTTAAAGAAAGTATGAATTTCTATGTCCGTCATGCCATTGATGAAGTTCTTCCCATTAAGGCTTAATCTAACTTGAGAGTACATACTCCTTTTTAATTATGTTTTGTGTAGTTTTTCTTTCCTTAAAGAGTCAGTTGACACTTTCTACTAAGACTATTTTTTTGTACTAAGAATCTTAGCTGTGCTAGTAAAATGCAGCTATCTTGGTAGGTATGTGTATACTTCCCCATCAGTCCTTAGAAAGATGGTGCTAGATCTGATTTGCCAAAAAAAGGGAAAAGGTAGCAGTAGTTGTTTGGATGATTTCCTTCTTTCAGGGAAATGGACGGAGGAAGAAGAAAAGAGACTTGCAGAGGTAGTTCATGAATTGACGAGCACTGAACCAGGTGACATAGTCACCCAGGGTGTGTCATGGGCAGCTGTGGCAGAACGAGTGGGTACCCGCTCAGAAAAGCAATGTCGTTCTAAATGGCTAAACTACCTGAACTGGAAACAGAGTGGAGGTACTGAGTGGACCAAGGAAGATGAAATCAATCTCGTCCTCAGGTTTGTGTCCTAAATCTTTTAATAATAGAATCTCCTTAGTGGCTGTAGATGTCTTAACTGATTTTCCTCTTTGGGTTTTCCTAGATGCCTAATACCTGAAAAGCATCCTTCCCATAGGGAGCCATTATTTAATATCCTAAGTATTTCATATTGAGCTCTTTTTCTTTTGTGTTTGTTCCTTTGTAGTGGATTTAGTGCTCCTGCAAGGTACCAGATTGAAGGCGTGGAGACTGAAGTCCTCCCTATATCCACAGAACAGGTATGGCACAGGCAGCGGCAGTGCAGCTTTTCCACTGTCCCACCAATGTGCCTTAGGCCTAACCTAGTGGGAGCATGTTAAGGGTAAGAGGGCTATTCAGTCTCCATGCCCTTCAATCTTTGGCTACTATGCTAAAAAAGGCAACAAGGTCCAATCTATAGTTACCCCATCCCTTCAAACTGGACCAAATCAGACATTTCCATTTTATACATTTCATACCCCAAAATAGCTTTAAGATAATAACCCTAAGCTTATCTTTTTTAATTAATCTAATGAGTAAAAATATTTAAGACTCTAGTGGAAGCTCTCACTGTGGCTACTCCCTACTGAAAATCAAAATCACTACCACAGTTAAAGCAAGAAAACAAACAAATCATAAAGCCCCAAATTTAGTTGTATTCTTGTGTTGGGTAGGGTTCTTGGTAATTCCTGGCTATTTTTTTGTCTAAAACTTTTTGGTGTAGATTTTTGTTTTTAGTAGATTTTTTTTTTTCAAATTCATCTTTAAAAACAGCTCATTTCTAAACGTTTTTGTTTATAAATAGAATAGCTCCAATCCAGGAAATAACTTACTACATACTGGAAAACAAATACAGCTACTGTTCTAACTTTAGATTATTCCTTTTCCTTTATAGTACTTCATATGATTCTGATCATTTATGGGTCATCCCATTGGTTGTAACCTTAACATGATGATGTTGCTGGTGATACTTCATAGCTCTTACCTCTGGAAGCACGTCTTCGCTCCTGGAACCCTTTCCCATGCAACTTAAGAGCATCTCAATGACATAACCTGCTATCTGCTTTATTGCCAGTTTTGTCATGTGTAGTCAGAGGAGGGTTTTTACAGAGAACTAAATTAACATCTAACATGCTTATTTTGTAACCTGTAGGATAGCAGAGCTTGATGTAGCTGATGAAAATGACATAAACTGGGATCTGTTAGCAGAGGGATGGAGCAGTGTCCGTTCACCACAGTGGCTTCGAAGTAAATGGTGGACCATCAAAAGGCAAATTGCAAACCATAAGGATGTTTCATTCCCTGGTAATGTATTACTTCCTAAATCCGTCCCTTTCTCGTACCAAATTTACTCCTAAAATTAGAAGTTCAAAATATGTTGCCTCAGCTTGAGATACTAGTCAAAGTAGGTTTTTACTTTAACCTCTGTTTTATGTCTTTGGGTAACTCTTGAGAAAAGTGAGTGTGATTTATGAGTCTCAGAGCACCTACGATGAAAATATACACATTTCTATAGTCTTGTTCTCTGATATAATTATTGGGAGAAAATACATTTTACATATAGAGAGTTATATTTAGATAATATATGTTTTTATTATCCCTTGCCCCTTAGCCCTCCCAATACCTTCCAGGAATCCCCGGTGGATGCCTAGAATCATGGATAATAACAAACCCTATCTATACTTTTTTGCTTATATACCTAGCTATGATAAAATTTAATTTATAAATTAGGCACAAAGATTTACAATGATATAATGAAAAAAATATTTTCTATAATGAAAGTTGTGTGAATGAGGGCTCTCTCAAAATATTTTAGTAGGTAGAGGGTAACTGAAACCACAGAAAGCAAAATTGTGAATAGGAGGTAACTGTATTTTCACTGTGTACAAAGAGGTATTTTCAAAAACATACTTAAATCAACTTTTATGAGTTCATTAATTTTAAATATCTTAACTGCTTTTTAGAGAATTTCTTTGTTTTATAGAGCAGAGGCTCTATAAATTTCTTAATTTTATATAAATCTGAAAGTCTTAAATTGGGTTTGCTTAAAAGTGAGACACATACTTCTTCATTGCCTACTTAGTTAGCACTTAGGCACAAACTAAGTTATATGGCCTGAAATTAAGGTGTATAGCCTGTTCAAATTAGGTAATTAAATTCATTCCTTCAAATTCAACCCCATTAGTGTTGTGCTCCAGTTTTCCAAATGAAAAATAAGTGCTATGAACATAGGCTTGATGAAAATTTGATTTTTATATTAAATACCCAACTATAAATTTATATATTTGATACTAAAATCAGAAGCGTGAATGAATAGTAATGTATCATGAACCTAGCCAGATTGCAACCTCACCTGAGTGGATAATGTAGTTTATCTTGACGAGTGGAGGAAGATACCTTTAGAGTTGGCGTCCCCATTCAGGAACTCAGGATGCTTTCGTATTACTGTGTGGAAAAGATCAGCTGCTACCTCTGAAGTTGAGTTAGATTCACAGCCAACAGTCAAGTACCCTTAAATTCTTGGGGATAAAGAAGTACACTATTCATTTAAAAATGAAAACAAGCTACTTAGCATTAATAATATTCTTTTAAAATAACAAGAATTTCATTAAGAAATATAAGGACACAGAAAATGTCTTATTTGCATGATATTCAGTTTTTTTTAATGTGTCTTAGATGGCAAGACTATATTAAGATATGCATTTTTAAAGTCTGTTATAATGGATAACATTTCCAAAAATTTTCAGACAAGTAATAGTTTTAAGATATATTTATTGTTATTTTGGTAAGCTCTGGCATCCAGTACACAATTATTTATTCCAAATACTTTCCCTCCTTACCCCCCACCTCCCCTGCTGCTTAGATGGTGGTCTGTCGGAGAATCAATGTTCTTTTTGTCTACCCATCTCCCTTCAGTCTTAATAAAAGGTCTTAAACAGTTACATGAGAATCAAAAAAACAACCCTACGCTTTTGGAGAATAAATCAGGATCTGGAGTTCCAAACAGTAATTCCAATTCCAGTGTGCAGCATGTCCAGATCAGAGTTGCCCACTTGGAAGATAATGCAGCCATCTCTCCAAGCCCCATGACAGCCTTGCAGATTCCAGTCCAGATCACCCACGTTTGTAAGTATTTGACTAAGACTTCTTGCTGTTTGATTGATATGATTTGGTTAATGACTGATACCTGTCAGTCTTCTGGAACATTGATAGAAATTTATCCAAGTTGATGAAGTAAAGGACATCTAAGGCCTTTTAAGTTTATATCGTCAATATTTCCACAAAAGATGAATATGTTACTCCATAATGGCAAGTTATCATGTGATAACCAACTGCCCAGCCATTAAAAACCATTTTAAATCATCTTTCCATATGTTATAAAGAATTGGATTAATTGGAAACTATATAAAATAGTTTCACAAGTTCATAAGGTTGCATGTCATAATTCACCAGTAGACAAATCTGGTGTTTTAGGGAAGGGAAATTCCAGTGTGCAGCATGTCCAGATCACAGTCTAAGCCAGATAAGATCTTATTCAGGTTGATCTGTCTCTCTGCCTTTCCATTATGAAGGCAAAAAGAATGAATAAGAATGAAATTCTTAGAACCGTAATTATTCACTTTTTTACCTTACTTTTCCTCCCCTATATAATCCTATTTGTCTTTCATTGGCAAGGTCATTGGCAAAAGTGTACCAATCATTGTGTTCTTCTCAACTGAGGGGCTATTGACATTAAAGTGAGAGTTCTTTGCAGAGCTGTTCCACACATTGTAGGGCACTTGGTACCCTTGGACCCCACCCAGAAATGTTAGTAGTACTTTCCAATCATTGTGACAAATAGAAACACCTTGTAGATTTTCAGATGTACCTTATAATCCTGTTTCAGAATCCCTGGGCCACATATTGGTGTTATTAATACTATATATCTTTAATATGCAAGAGTGTCAAGAGTTATCCTTAGAGACATTTAAACTAGTCATGCCTAATTTAATTTTCTAATTTAAATGTGATTGTTTGTTCTAGCTTTCTACCAGTGTAGTAAAACATGAAGAATTTCTTTGGCTCTACTTGTTTTGTTTTATAGTCTGTAGATTGCAAAGCAAATGAAATTACTAGGCCACCATAAATATGAGAGCTACTATTGGCTATAAATTGTGCATGCAGATAGTTAAAATTTTCCCTGGCTCTTAGGTTATTAATACTTACTGGGAACTCAGCAAACATATAAATGGTATATACCTTAATATTCATTTACAGTGTGGCTTTTTTTTTAAGTATGTAGAATTTATTTCTTCTAGCTAAAAAAGTGATTATAGTTAAGGATTTTACAATGCACCTGTTACTTTTGGTATTCTAGCTAAAATCTCATGGTTGTTTCTTCCTTCGCGTTAGGGTTTAGGAATCAGCAAACTTTAGGGCCAGAATAGTAAATGTGAATATGTTAGACTTTACAGGCCACAGTTCTCTGAGTTACATATGTGAGTAGCCACAGTTTGTTTACCCTTGATTTAGGTTATTTATGTGGAATCACTTCAAGTTCTATCAGGTATAATCCTAAGAATACATTAGATAGTAAGAGAAAGAACATGAATCAAGTGAAGGTTTTTTGGAAAGGGTGTAACAATTTTTTCAAACCAGAATATAATAAACAATAAATGCTACATGTTCAAAATCAATCCCAAATCACCTTTCTACCTACAGATATGACTGAAAGCAATCACATTTCTTCTAGTGTTAGAGCTATATAAACATGAGCTGACACTGATCAAATCTGAGCCTTAGTAGATACACCTATAAAGAGATTATACTATCAGATTTCTCAAGTGCTGTTCATGCTCCCAAAGTGGTTTTCTGATTAATACTGTCTTACATTTATTTCATGTTTTTGACCTAACTGAAGTAGGACAGATAAAATCTCTTAATATATACATTATGTAATTTACCCACGTTTACAAAGCTAGCAAGTGTTAGTGTTAGAAACTAAAGACTTGGGTTTTGGGACTACCAAAACATACAATATTGCTTACCACAATGTTCAGAAAAAATTGTTTTTACCAAGTTCCTATCTTTTTGTAGGTTAGCCTTAGTGTATTCCTCTTACTGTCATCAGAAACATTCTATGATCTATACTAGGGATTAGCAAATACTGTCTCTGCCACAGCTACTCAACTCTGCCCTTGTAGTACAGAAACCACCATAGAAAATACATCAATGAATAGGTATGCCTGTGTTCTGATAATACGTTAGTTACAAGAACCGTAGTGCTCTGGATTTGACTGTGGGCCATAGTTTGTCATCGCCAACAAATCTGTTAGATTTCTTATTTAAGAAATTTGAATGACTTCAGGTTACCAGGAAAATTATTCAGTATGTGATGGCCTTCATAATTATAAGGATACTAGGGGAAATTTAAATTTACAAAGTCAATTTATTTGTTGTCTTTATTCTCACCACAGCTTCAGCAGACTCCCCTGCTCCTACTGTTGACTCGGAAACAATAACACTAAACAGTGGAACACTACAGACATTTGAGATTCTTCCAGTGAGTAATACTTCACAAATTAGATATTGGCCATTTTAATAAGAAAGAAGGAACAGTTAGTGTCAGTTTTAGAAATGTTGCCATATAAGAACATGAAATATAAAAGTTAACATGATTGGCATCACATGCAAATATGTCCATGATTCTAAGGATAAATGGCTATAACATAGTCAGACCTTATAATTTTTCTTCATCTGTATATAATCTAATAATATGCTCTTTTATATAAATGATTGTGCCAGTGAGTAGGGTGCATTCAATGGGCTTGTACTTAACATGATTTAACAACATTCATTCATTAAATACTGCACTAGTCATTGGGGATACAGAAATTAAAAATCCCAATCTTAAATGAAATAGCCATTTTAGAAAATAATCTTGTAATCTCTAAAAAGGCTAGACATAGGACCCAATTCTAATCCCAGGTATGCCTAAAGGAATGAAATAATTTGTCCACACAAAAACTTGTACATCTTCATATTCGTAATAACTCAGAAGTAGAAACAACCCAAATATCTATTCACTGATAAATGGGTAGTGTGTGCAAGAGCCATACAAACAACCTTTTGGCAGTAAAAGAGAACTAATTACTGAGACATACTACTGCAAGAATGAACCTGGAAAAGATTATGCTATTTCTTTCACTTACATTGTTTATGATTCCCATTTATTTGAAATGTCCAGAACAGGTAAATCTAGAGACAAAAAGTAGATCAGTATTTGCCTGTTCTCAGAGGTTTTGGTTTGAGAACATACAGGGTGTGGCTGATCATTTGTAAGAGGTTTCTTTTGGGAATAATGGGGAAAAAATTTTTAAGATCTAGTTCTTATCCCACTTCCTAAATAGGTAAACCCCAAATTAGCTTATATTTCCTTAAGGAAACACAAAGATTTTATTTAAATTGTAAGATTTAATTGCTGCGGAGATTGTAAGAAGTATTAGTACAAGAGTTTATCCTCTACACAAATATCACAAGTATGGCTAACACAGCAGAAGGTTCTCTTTTTGAACAATTTTGGAGCTTCTATTAGCAACTTACTTACCTAGCTTCACTTTCCTAATCCAGTGGTCTCCAAAATAGGGATGTATAAAGATAACTATTTGTCACAGGTAGATAACAAAACTTCATTTTTCTCTTCTCCTCTCCCCCCTTTCTCTCTGTCCCACTGGTGGCCGCATAAGCAAATGCACATATATTTGGGGTATGTGTTCAGGTTTTTACTTATGGGATCACAAATATTTAGAAACTTCACTCCTAATTAATAGAGGGTGCTAATAGTGCCTCAGCTTAAAAAAAAAAAAGTGAGCATTATGTATATAAACTATTTACTGTACTGCCTGACCATGTGAATAATAATTACAACTTTAGGGAAAACTTTCACTTTCATGAAGGAGGAGGGAGTAAAGATAATGAAGTCCCGCTGTGCTGGATGCCATCATAGTAATTTCTAATCCTTACACCCTTTCCATCAGAGACAGTTATTATACCCACTTTAGCTGAAAAGGAAACTGGAATAAGTGAGTCAGGACCCCAGAGCTGGGGGGTGTATCTTAAGTTCATAAGACTACCTCAGCTTTCTAACTCCCAGCTCTAAGTGTAAAGTACTTTTCCTTTAGACTACTTGGGTAAAAAGAACTCAGCTTTTAAACAGCTTTTAAAATAGGAATTCTCTTTTCCGAAACTTAGAAATTTTGCTAATTGCTATTTTTGTACATATCCTCTAATATAAAAGATATTTTCTAAAGTTGTCTATTTAAGGAAGTTCTGCTATAGTGCCTTTTCAAAAATGTGAAACTTGTTTATTTTTAACTGGGAGATTTCCAGTATGTGCTCCAGAGAAAGGATAAAGATTGAGTATGCTGGGTTACTGCATTGAAATCAGTAGTTTATGGACTAAGTCATGGTGCTCTACAACAAGTGGCCGAGACCAAACATAGAAATACACAGACATGAAGAATAGGGTAAAGGCCTTACCTCACTTTCTGTTAAATCTCCAGACTAATGGCTGGTGGCAGTCAAGAATATGGTACCATTCATACATCTGAAGAGGTGTGATCCGGCACCTCTAAAACATATAGGGCTGTAAACCATTGTTACCACAATATATTAAAAAAAATTAAAAAAATACAATTTTATAACTGGTTTGCATTTATCATGATTGTGTTTGTGGGACCCTTTGGATGGAAAACTAGATTTAGTAAGGCATTCTGCTGCACCTGTGCTCATCTTATTTTTCTCTTTCTTTTAGTCTTTCCACTTACAGCCAACTGGCACTCCAGGCACCTACCTACTCCAAACAAGCTCGAGCCAAGGCCTTCCCCTAACTCTGACAGCCAGTCCCACAGTAACCCTGACAGCTGCTGCTCCTGCTTCTCCCGAACAAATCATCGTTCATGCTTTATCTGTATGTTATCTTCCATTTTCTAGTTTCTGTAGAGAAGATTGGCTAATTGATGTATGTCACAAGAATACCAGGTTTTTTTTTTTTTTTTTATTGTTTTTAATACTATGATAGAACCTATATACCTGTTAGGGATCAGGATTAGTTGGTACAAAAATAAGAGCCCAAAGTAATGTATATCTTTAAACAATTTTTCCTAATGCTTTTGTCCCAAGAACAGTGTTTCACACCATCACCCAGCCTTGACTATTGGGATAGATCCTGTATCCCCTGTGTCTCTTTACATGACATGGACTTACAGTAAGGGAATAAAGACATCAGGAGATCAAAGGTTCCAGTGGGTAAAGAACAGGGGTTTTAGAAAAATAGTGATAAGAATACTGCCATTCAGAGGTGAGAGGTATGAAAGGTAACAGGGTACCACTATACATGTCATTTGTTGCCATTAAATCTGGTAGCTTAAATCTGGTAGGTACTTTTTCATTTTGCCATTGATTGTTTTCTTTAATATTTTATAGCCAGAACATTTGTTGAACACAAGTGACAATGTCACCGTGCAGTGTCACACCCCAAGAGTCATCATTCAGACTGTTGCCACAGAGGACATCACTTCTTCCATATCCCAGGCAGAACTGACAGTAGATGGGGATATTCACTCCTCTGATTTTCCTGAGCCTCCAGATGCACTAGAAGCAGACACTTTCCCGGATGAAATTCATCAGCCTAAGATGACTGTAGAGCCTTCATTTAATGATGCTCATGTATCCAAATTCAGTGACCAAAACAGCACAGAATTGATGAATAATGTTATGGTCAGAACAGAAGAAGAAATTTCTGACACCGACCTTAAACAAGAAGTGGAATCACCCTCTCATTTAGCCCATGCTTATGTTACTGAGGTAAACTGCGCTTGAACATGGCCTAATGATTTCTTGCCTTAAGCCTCAAACCTGCAGTTAGGAAAGAGCCGAGAAATGATTTATGATAGTATATGCTCCTGTACCTTCCTTTTTTTTATTAGATACACTAAGCACAAAACCCTACATTTGGCCTGCACAAAACCCAATAGAGCTGCTCTATGTTAAACACCAGTTCCTCATTAAAACCTTTCCTTGGCCACCTCCAGTAGATTAAGAAAAGTTTGGTAGAATCAATGGAAGCATTTCCCTAGGGTGGTTAGGAACAGATCATTGTGGTTCATTTAGGAAACTCACTTCACAGTATAACAGCAGTTTCTTATATATTTATATGAGCTATGACTGAATTGGTTCTTTTTAGTTCTTATATGATACTTTGTATGTGAGTATGGGGTTATTACCTTTGTCAACTTTTTAAGACCTTAACTTTCTTTATATTCTAATTTTTATATTATCTATGTTTGAAAGTTAAGTCCTTTCAAACCTATACATGCATGAGACCTTAAGGAAAGCTTATGCGGACTTTGAAATGAAATTCTCATTTCTTAATTATTTTTAGGATTTAGAGTCTCCTACCATAGAAGAACGGGTTGATCAAACAACAATTGATGATGAAACTATACTGATCGTTCCTTCACCACATGGCTTTATCCAGGCATCTGATGTTATAGATACTGTATCTGTCTTGCCTTTGACAACACTAACAGGTATGTAATACAGCCCCTTCATGAGTCTGATAGATTTTAGGGGGGGAAACAAGCAGCCAGACATTTAATTCAGTTGTTTTAGTCTTGCTTGATCAAACAATAGAGATATGTTACCTTGTTAAGTTTTGCACTTTGGAAGGGGAATACTTTCTCTTATATTGACATGAATTAGAGAATATATACATTTAATACTAATTTAAAACTTAACTCATTACAGATCCCATACTCCAACATCATCAGGAAGAATCAAATATCATTGGTTCATCTTTGGGCAGTCCTGTTTCAGAAGACTCTAAGGATGTTGAGGATTTGGTAAACTGTCATTAGGTACTTCTTAGAAACGGGTAGTTCAGGCAGAGAAACCACACTGTTAATTATATCTCCAAAGAAATAGGAGCAACCCCAAAAGGCTTAATTTACCATTCCTCTGGCTTTTAAATAGCTACAAAGCCACATACATTGTTGCTGCTATGACTTTTTACCTCCTTAAATATATCATCTGAGGTCTAGTCTTATGACAGTGTATAGTTGAGTGTAAAATGTGGGGTCTTACCTGCATAAATCCCTATGATTAGTGTTATTTGTCCACAGGAAATTTTATTTACTTCAGCTACTAAGAAAAGTTTAAAATCACCAAAGCTTAATTACTCTGCTCTAAAAGTAGTACTTCATCCCTAAAGAACGGACATGGCTTCCTAGTCAGTCTCAAGTAGACCCGTTTATATTTCAGAGAAGTCAGATCAGCAAGGTCCACAGCTTACCAGTAAACCTCTCCAAAGAGATTAAATATCATTAGTTTGGGATTTGACCATCATACAGTACAGAGACCTAGGAGGTGATTGTGTGACAGTTCCTTTTGGTTTACCCATTGCTGGCAGTGGGAGCACATTTAGCCTAGGTAGAAAGAAAAGCATTAAAGGAGTTAAGAAAATTCACTACAGGTTTTTTTTTATTATTACTTTAAAAGGGAACGAGTGAAAATAGTAACAGTGAGAGTAGTAACAGAAAGAATTCACCAGAAGCTAAGTAGAGTTATAACCCCCTTCCCCCACCCAGAACCACTGTCATCAGTTTACAAAGTTAGCACTTTGAAGTAAAATTAACCTAAATGAAAAAGGAGGTAATGGTGCCTGTACCACGACCATTTCTTACATGTTTTGCTATATAAATTGCCCAGAAAACAGTTGAGGAGGGTATCAAAGTTTGTTGTTCACTTAGTGCATTAGCTGGTGGGGATTGGATGTAACTTCTCCCTCTCAGGCAATTTTAAAAAAATAAACAAAATTTACTTGTTATGAAAGGAAACAAATCAAGAGTCATTCCTATACTAGAAAAGGTTAAGCCAAAACTAGCCTCTAGGGCTTTAATGAATATGATCCCTATAGAAAGTCACAAAAAAACCCCTTGTATAAATTATTTTATTTATTATTGTAATTAGGTATTCACAATCAAAGTTGTCTTTTCACCATCTGTGTTTTGTTAACGTGAGATTAAATTGTAGTAATAAGCAAAAGTTGGTTGCCTAGGGAACAATAATTGTATATTCAGTTTAACAGAAATAAAAGATTATTTGTCTTAAAATGCAAGATTGTTACATAGCCTTTCGCCATGCAGTAATAACATTATAAAAAATTTTCATTTCAAAAGTGAAAATTACTTGTGCTCTTGGAATATTTGAGTGCAGCATTAGGTCCTCAAAGAAAAGCAAAGTGATATGTCTCCCCCCGAAAAAGGGAATTGAGATTTACAATTAACATGAAAATCATGTATTAGACTTCTGTGGGAGCTTGTTCGGCATACCTTATCCAGCTCTTATTCACAGTCCTAATATTATCGTGTTGAAGAGATCTGATAAGTATTTCTCCTTGGCCGCCTCATTTTCCCACATCATGGAAGTACAGGTTTGCACATATACATAACATGATGATAGAAAATAAGATATAGTAAATTAGATTTCTAAATTTCGGTTCTAAGTCTCCTTGTCGGTACCAGTAGATCTAAAAAAAAAAAAAAAATTAAATAAAAGTTTAAGTAATAGCCACTGGACAGATGTTAAAAAATTAAAAATTTAAATACAACTAATTTTTCCACTGTGACCAATTTCATCAGTATATGCTTTTCCTCCTAAATGAGGCAGGCTTTATATTCCTGAGACTAACACAGCCAGAATTTCTTTTTCTTCATAACTGAAGTATCAACTGAGTTTTCACATCCAAAGTCATACTAATTCTTGCTTTCTCAATTAACTTTTTCTATGTTTAAACCTATAGAATCCACCAATTCATTGGAAAAGCCATGGAGGAATATATACTTTCTAAGCTTATTTTAAATATATTTGGGTAAAAGGTACAACTCTTTCAGGTCTAAGAAGTTAATCAACTGATATTCATATTGCCAATACAAAACAGGGCTTACATAATGCATATATCACTGTTGGGTCACTTCTGGTAATGGGGCTGGAGGTGGAGGGCATCTCCATTGCTCCATTCCAATGGCTCCCAAAGTGGGATGAGCCCATTCTTTCTTAGGTCATAGGAGTATAGCAAAATCAGAAGCTTGGAGATATCCCTTAGTTTAATATTAGATAAGCACTTTACTGTTATGATTTAAGCTCTATGTAAAGCAAAACAGCTGTTTTTAAGGGTTTACTGTTTTAGATTCTGCCTTTCCTTGAGGGAAATGGAAAAACCACCAACTAATGAATTGGCTAAACACTTGGCAATCATCCAACTGAGCCTCCACCACCATGTTTCTTTCTTTACCCTATAAGAAAGGCTTCTGTATAAGTAAAATTGAATATTCTATATAAGGATATAACTGCAGCTTGAGGTTTCACAGGAAATCTTGCTATTAATTACTTTCATTTTGGGAAATAAGAGCAAAGATTAGCTTTTACCTTTTCCCTAAAGAGAACAGCATGTCTTAATGTCTACTGGTCCCTGTATGTGGTCCTCAAAGGAAGATGAGTTAGGTAAACTATATGGAATTTTTGACTACCTAAGTCTTTTCTTCCATTTTTCAACTGTCAAGGGAATAGTTTTCACATAGGTTTACCACTTTAGGATTGGGGGTGGAGGTGTGGTGGAAACTCATATTTTGTTTTTCTTTAAATGCCCTGCAATCACTATTGAGAATTATGACATGGTAGAGGGGGTATGTTCTATAGACCCAGGCCTAGTAACCATTCTAGGCACTGCAACCCTTAGCCCTCAGGATACTCCATTTAAATTCTAAATAGTACTCACAAGTATGCAGGCAGTAATACTACTCAAAGAGATGCAGACAGCAAAAAATATATTGAGTGGTTTTGGAGGTAGTTGAGGGAAAACAAAAGCACTGATCAGCGTTACCTGTACAAAGAGAAATTATGTCAGGCCTCGTGAGTAATTCTAAGATGGTTAGCCTGTAGTCCGGGCAATGTAATATTACAAAATGCGTCATATTATAAAATGATATCTAACACAAGATTTGTCTTCTGGAACATTCATGTAACAAAAGTTGTAAATATGTTCAATTGTAGGTTTTGTGCTTTTCCTAACCTTTCATACATACTTACGAAAAGAGGCCAAAATATCATAGTGGAGTAAAATTAACCTCAAAATAACCTCTCCATTAACAGCTTAAAAATCATTTAGGCATCATTCCCAGGATTGATGATTATTTTGGGAAACATTTTAACCTTTTTGTTATTTTGAATACTCCAATTAGAAATGCCCAAACTTGTTTTGCTTAACATTATGAAAAATACTGAGAAACTGGGTTGTAATATCCTATAGTTCTCTTTCTACCATAGAAATATCCATTCTTTTCATAAACTCATTGAAACAAACTTGACTAACATTCTTTTAATCAGATGTGCCACAGAATTGTCATTCTTGGGACACACAGCTAGGTTTTTATTTAACTGTAATATCACTAAGCTATAAAAACCAAGATGAAAAGTCACTATATGTTGACCAAGTAATCTTTTTAAACCAGAGGATAATGAATCTGGTTTAGGAACAAAGTTAACTTAAGGTACTAGCAGAAATCAGGCATTAGGTAAACTATAAGAAAAGAAAGTTGCTGGTAACCACTGACATATTTACAAATGTATTAGGGAACAAACATGACAAACTCAGAGAACCTAGTTGTTGATTTCATATAATAAATTGGGGGTGGGGTAGAAATCATTTTAGCTACTACAATTTTGTTTCAGTGTTAACATGGCATCTAAAGTGTTAACAGAACAAACCAATACTTCACATACTGGTATACTGGCACATTTAGATGGTGGTGTTTTGCTTTGTTTTTTTTTTTTTTTTTTTTTTTTTTTTTTTTTTAAGATTTATTTATTTATTTATACAAGAACCGGGGTACAGGCCAGATGCGCGGGAGGGTGAGAGGATTCACCAGAGACAGAGCGGGGACCAGAACAGGCAGACTGACAAAACACACTGCTGAGGGGAGCAGCGGACGAGACCCTTGCTGGCCGGCAGGGGTTGAACCGGCGCTGCTGAGGCTGCAGACAGCTTCACAGCATGGCGCTCAACCCCCTGCGCCACCAGGGGAGGCCCTAGAAGGTGGAGTTTTATTGATGTTTTGTTTCTTTTTTTGAGAAATAACTGAACCACAATAAAGTTTTCAGAGCTTTGGTTAAAAGCCTGGGTGAGATACAAAATAAAGATACTTACTAGAATCAGTAAGGATGTTAAGCCACCAACAACTAAATTGATGATTCGATCCTGAAAGAAAGAAAAAAAGAGTTTTTTGAGCCAAGTGGTAGAAGTGTGGCACTTTCAGAGTATAGTGCTAGGCTTTGGGGTGATTTAAAATGAAGAAACCAAAAACCCTGCCCTTTTCTAAGCTTGACACATACAACCACCAGACGAAGCAAATATATATATATAATGTTACTAGAGTGGAAAAGATACTTTGGGAACACTCGGACAACTAACTGGAGGCTTCTTGAAGAGACAGCGTATTTTGTACACAAGATTGGGGAGGAATGAATGGGGACAGGAGACTCACAACCATATGTGTGCTGTTCAGGACCATATGACCAGAAGCAAAGGGACGAGGCACTAAGACGGCCAGCACAGAGGCTTGGTGAAATTCTCAGGAATCAGAATGTAGATGATATCAGGTGTCATGAGTTTGGACAGTTTGTGACACGGCTTATGTGTCTTTGTCCATTGTAATCTAGAACTAGATGGTACTGCTAAGAGAGGATCATGCCAAAGGTAGGAACAATCCTAGAACATCTAGTCAAGTGGTTTTCCACCTTATTTAATAACAAAAGTCTTCAAAGCATAAAAGAGTATATTTTGATTCAATGGGATCCTAGGATCCTACCCATTGAGCTGCTTGTCATTCCCACCCCACCCCACCAATTTTACAGAATGTTTTGAAAAACTACAACCTAATTAGTACTGATTTTACAAGATTTGGGTTTATAGGAGCTTAAAGAATAAAGCCACAGGAGTTGAGACCTAAGTAGAAACACTAAAGCCATGTGAATACCAAGTAGTCTTATTTCTGAGAAGTCAAAGATGAGTCTTAAATCAATCTGTGGTCATAAAGGTTGTCTCAGTAAATCTCAGCAGGGTAACAGACTACGGAATGTGAGCACCAAGAAACCAAGGTCCAGAAGTGGGAAGGACACTGAACAAGCACAGAGCAGCACTGAACACTCATTCCAAGTGATCTGCTATTAAAGATAAAAACCCAAAGAAGTTTAAGAGGCAGGCAAAGCTGGGAGGAAGGGTGAAGGAAGGCCAAGTATAATGTCAGTGTGCCTGGTCTTCCGAGGACAAACCACAAATTACAATTCAACAGTTACACAGGACAAAGGAAACAACTCCAGCCACACCCTTACTAAACTTGGAGGACTCAGATCTTATTACTACTTCAGTAAGGAAGCTTACACAGCGCACAGTAGTCTGCAATTAAGACCAATTGTTAAGGAAGAGACCCAGGGCAAATCACTTATTCATACATGACAAATGTGTGTATTTAAAATACATATATAAGACAACCTGTGGAGCCTCATTATTTCCACTTTATGAAAAAGGTTCAACTAAAATCTGGTCTATTCTGAGAAATCAAGACTATCTGCTCCCATCCACAAGCTCCAGGGAATTGCAGAAGTTTGGAAAGGTTAGTGTGCCTCTCACAATAGGAAGAAGCCAGTGAAAAGGTTCAGGTGAGCGGTAGCCAGAAAAAATATCATAACTTCCTAACAGCAAAGCAAGTTTGCCAGGGAGAATTAAAGGTGGGGGCCAGGGAATGGTGTGGGGTTGGAGGGAAGGGGAATAATAATAGAGAAAGGACAGTAACTATGCCAAGAGCTTTAGTGTATCTTCTAAAAACTCCAGGAACTATAGACTATCACACATAATGGAAAGCAGCACAAGAAAACTGAGAATTTGCCCATGGTCTCAATACCAATAAATGAAGAAAGCCAACATACTAGACTTGTACTCCTCATTGGAAGAGCACCCTAAAAAGCTACTGTTGAACTAGATAAAAATAAGGCAGATTTCAAAAACTCTATTTGCAAAATACTACATTAAAGTGTATATATTTCAGAAGTGAAGGTTTCTCATGATTTTCCCTATTGTTGAACTTAGCCATGCAAGCATGATTTTAATTATTCCAGTGGAAAGAAATCTAAATTTAAGATACTTCCCTGGCCCTTTCTGCCTTCCAGACAGTTCACTGAACACAAGAAGGGAAGAGCTCTTCAGGATATGAATGAGGGGTTTTTCACAGGGTTTTCTTTCTTCAAGACAAGGTCTTGGCTTTCAGGTCTTCTATCAAAGTAACCATGAATCCAGGCCAAAGAAACAAGCATTAACCTTGGAAGACTCCCCATTCTCAGGCTCCCTGTTCTCAATTCTTACAACACGAAGTGTTGGTCTGTGGCCCTAGGAAGCAGAGGCCTCAGCTGCGAGCCTGCAAGAAGTGCAAAACCAAGGAAGACCCCTTGCCCCAGACCTACAGAATCAGAATCTGCATTTGAAAAAGAGCCTCAGGTCATTGTGCGCACATCTAAATGAACTCAATGGTTAATTTAGTAAACTCACTTAAAAGTTTAGAATCTCAACTATACCACTTTAAATATTGATTAAGTTCAAATCAGAGTGAAGACTCTTCCCAGGCCCAGAGGTTATTTTTCAGGCTTTAGGGGCTCTCCCATTTCCCATTCTCTAAAGATAGGACAACAATAAAGAATAAGACACTACTTAGCATTTCAAAGGGCAGTATTAGAAGTAATATGCTCCAAATCAACTACAAGGAGAAAGAATACAGCATTTAAACTTTGCTGTTTATGGAATGAGCTGAAAATCCATGTTATTTCCACTTCTACAGCTAGTCTCCAACTATTATCTCACAGGAAATAGCTTTGTCTCCTCCCATTCTATTACCCTATTTCTATGTACCAAAATTATTCTCTTCCAGAGCTTTCCACCCTCTATTGTTGCTTACTTTTACTCCCCAAGGAAGGGCACCAGGATCAGAATCAGCCCTGATCCTCACCAGCAGAGAAAACAGGACTGGGAAGCGGGGTGTCCTTCCCAAAGAAATTACAACCATATGAAAAAGTTTTAACCCACGTGCTTGTGTGTGTGTATTTATATACCATACACACACCAACATGTAAATATTCATACATAGTACAGTTCTGAGAGAGAGTCTGCATATATTGCCTAATGTCATTTATTCACTTAAACACCTCAATTCTATCTCAAGAGTTTACTCATCTATCTCCTCCTCCACACTGTAAGGTCTGGGAACCTGAGGGCCATATCTTCTTTGTTCATTGTTGGGTTCAGGGCCATTGTACTTAACTGTGTGGCTGAAATCCAGCCAATGCAGCACTCTCGGAGCTGTGCACTCTGGGACAGGCTTGAGTCCTCCCAGAGGCAACAGCACCCTTTTCTAATACTGACAATTAGTTCTGGGAACTGCCACTATCAAACACAGAGGTAACCTGATAACCTGACCGACCACATTAGAGAAGTCACTGTACCAGCAGGTGGTGGCAGTGGTGGCATCCCTCTGGCTACCATGGTGCCCGCCAAGTTACAAGCTCAACTCAGTTGAAAGAACAAACTAATTGGGTTTACCACAAATAACATGCTGGCGGCTAAACTCATGTTGTCAACTTAAGTAACAAGTGAATTAATTTTGTTTAGAACACCATCCTTCAAATGTAGAGAAAGGGGATACAAAAAAGCAAATGTAGAAGACAATATTCCAGACATTTGTACAAAATCTCACAAGGGTTTCTGTCTCCTAGTCATTAAGTGGGACTTTTAATGGAATCTTTAAATTGAAAAGTATTAGCCTTTACATTTCCTTAAAACACAGAAGCGGCAAGAATGAAAAGGCAGCTGCCCGTAATGGCCAGCAGCACTTCATGGCCTCTCCATGCGTCTCCGGAAAGTGGTTTGACACTCCAATTCAACTCAGGTTCCCAATCCCACTCTTAAAGCAAGTCAGCAAACAACCTTATAAAAATAAAATGTAAAGAAAAAAAAGGAAAATTCATCCTCCCCATTTCTGTCCCTTCAGCCTGAAGAGTACCGGAATGTGACCTACTTCTCCGCCAGTTCTGCACCCATCCTCTGACTTGATTAATTATCTCTGTCCTCATCCCACCTCTCTCCTGAAGTCCATCTCTGGCCCCAAAATCTCAGCTCCTTCCAATATCAGAAGAGCCTTCCATCATCCTGCTTCCCACTTTGATGTTAAGCATGCAGTGCCTCCTCTTTTTCACATGATTAATGTTATGAAGAAAATCTAACAGGACAGGAAGAATGACCAGGGTGGAGATGGGTGACTGTTTTTCAAAATAAGTTCTAGGAATCCTCTCTAAGGGCATGCCATTTAAGCAGGGCCTTTAAAAGAAAAAGGAATAAGATATACAAGATATACTATCCAGCACATTTCCTGGGATGTAGTATGCACTTGATTAGCAACTAAATAAAAGAAGACATACATGCACACTTATGACCTAAGTTATAGGATACATGCCTAACTTACAGAATACATACTATAAAGAATATATAATGTAAATTAAAGAATACATGCACATTTCTAACCCAGGCTCCACAAGTAAATTATATTCCTTAGCACAGCAATTGAAGGTCTTTACCTAGCCCAGCCTTTCTGCTGACCTTTCCTTCCAAGTTCTGGAGTCCAGGCACAATGAAGCACTCGGAGGTCCCTCACCGATACCTGTACTTTTCCTGCTCCAACCCCTTTGACACAAGCAGGCGCTCTTGCTTGGGATTCCCAGTTACCTCCTTCAAATATTGTCTGCTGTTTTTAGGTTTAAGGCTTAAAAATCCTGTATCCCAATGCCTCCTATAGCATTATTCTCTTCTTCCATGCTCCCTGGCACTTTGTTCATCCCTCTAGTAAAGGGTTCAATCCCTTTTTTTTTTTAAAGATTTATTTTTTTATTTATTTATACAAGCACTGGGTACAGTCAGAAGCAGGGGAGGGTGAGAGAATTCACCAGAGGCAGAGAGGGGAGCAGAGCTGGCAAAAGGACCAAAGTACACTGCTGAGGGGAGCAGCGGGTGGCAGGAGAGGTCTGCGCACCTTGTGGGACCCTCCTCCAGTGGCCGGGGAGCAGCTGGGGATCGAACCGGTGCTGCAGAGGCTGCGGGCAGCTTTGCAACCCAGGGCTCAACCGCTGCACCACTGGGGAGGCCCCAATCCCATTTTTTAT